CCGCGCGGGGATCTAAAGGGGGTGGGGCCAAGACAGGAGGCGGGACTATGCCGGCACAGGGTTATAAGTCGGGGTAGAGCAGGGTTCTGAGGGGGCTTCACAAAGGATTAGTTAATGGTGTGAAAGGGGGGGCTGGGCCAGGTCTAGGGGTGGCTCCAGTGGCTGGGTTCTGCATGGAGCAGGGGCTGTGCCTCTTGGCTTCCTGGCCTGTAGGGTAGAGACATGTGGTGTGAGCCCCTCTGGACTCCTGGGTGCCCCCTTGCTGTCCTGTTTCCTACCAACAGCCCTCGCCCTGGTTTCTTACCACCTGCATGAGACCAGGAATAAATCTTCAGGTGCCCGGAGTTGTGGTCTCTTCCCTGTGAGCGCTGAGGGTCCCTCCTTCCTGGAAAGTTGCAGCCGTGATCCTCGTGGGTCCCAGGAGCCGTGGGCATGGAGCAGAAGGCCAGCGCTGGCAGGCGTCCCACTGAGATTGAGAGAGCCGGTGATGCTACCCCGTGGGCAAGGATTGTTCCAGCAATCGGGTTTTGTTGGGCTGGCTGCATAACTGGGAGAGAAGACGAGCTGTCAGGCATGAAGTGCGCAGGCAGAAATGACAGTTTTTGCCCAGTCTAGCCATAGAATGCAGTCTATAGCTGTGACCAAATACAAGTGCACGGCTGCATGCAGCTTTGAAAGTGGAGGATCACGTGAAAGTCTGAACCCTCATTGCATGAGGCATGAGATAAAGATGTTTCAAAATGCAGCATCTTCTGTGACTTGTGCCTATGAGCTCCCAGCCTGTTCCTGTTTTCAGAATGGGAGAAGGGAAAGGGAGCTGAGGTAGTTCAGCCCCCCTGGAGGTTTGGCTGGGTATAATGGAGCTTCCTCCCAGGTAAGGGGACTGCAATTCACCCACCTTACCCTTCAGCACCAGCTGGGGAGCCCCAAGACTCAGTGTCTTCCACTGTCTTTCCCCCCTCCCATTCTGAGAACAGGCAGTATTGGCAGAGAGCTGCCCATTGCTAGATTCCCTGCTCTCCCCCGCAACCAACAGTGAACTTCTGTTTGGTCTGGGGTAACTTGTAACTCAGAGTGATTTTTGCAAAGCACTCCAGTTACAGCTGGGAGCTGCACCCCAAGGGTGTTCATCTTCAGGGCTTTTTTTTGTGCCCAGAAGCTTGTCTAACATCTCTCCCACTTCTGCTGTTGATCACCTCCGCAAAATCATTGCCTCTCCTACTTCCTGGACCATTACTGCTACAACAGCATTGGAGCCTCATTAATCCTTAGGTTGCCCATGAGACCTTGGTGACTCTTTGGTCTCAACTCCCAACTTCAAAGCACTGGAAAGGAGATGGTACTTATATTTGGGTCATGCTGATAACTGCATAGTTTAAAATGTTCCTTTAAATAAAGTCAAGTGGGTTCATTTGGCCAGTCAGAAAACTTCCCAAGAGGTAATTTCTAAGCTGGGACAACCACTTTGCTCATAACTCTGAAATAGACTAGGTGCTATCAGTTTTGAGGCTGCTGTAGAGGCAAGGCTGTGGAGTAACAAGGAATAAGCCTTAATGAAGCACAGACAGATTTAAATGGCTGCCTGCCTTGCCAGTGAGTGTCTTAAGCAGCTTCTTTCCTTGCTTGTCTATTGTGAATGCATTCAGTGCTCCTGGCATTTTAAATGTTGAGCTGGGTGGGTGGTGGTTATCTCTGCTATTGGTGAAGGAGGTAAATTATAAATTCACCGGCATGAGGGTACCTTTTCACTCATGATAAAGAGAGGCTAATTATGGAAGAAAACATTACAGATGAGTATTGCTCTTTCTTGTATACCAAGAAGCTGAATCCTTTGTCATGGCTCCTCTCATTGCTTGATCTTTGAATTAGCTTTTTCCAGAGATGCTGGTGAATGAAATTGTCTCTTTCATTTTCCTTTTCCAGGCTCATCTCCTACTTTCTTTTTCTCTTTTCACTACTCTATATTCATTTTGAAATAATAGGTTCAGAGAGACAGAGATTCACGTCACAATCAGCGTACAAAAATTAGTGAAATGAAGATCAGAGTGATATACGTGGCGACTTCAACTTTATTCCCAAGACAACAGTTACCATTTATGGGTTAAACTTTTATTAGAAAAGGGGAAAACTTACTGGAAACACTGAAAAAATGTTAAGCATTAAAGCTTTCAATTAAAAAAGAAAATATTCACTCGTTTATCCTTTAGCTGCAGACATTCTTTATAAAAAAACCCCACGTTGTTAGACAGTCTCAAAGGGTATTAAAGATGGTCCTGGAGGGAGGGGAGCGGGGAGGGAGGGGGCAGATTTGGTTATCCTAGAGCTCTTATTTCTGAGGCTTTTGTTAGCGTCTAGTCCTGCTCCCTTGATATAGACATAAAAGGGGAGGAGAGGGAGAAGCAGCAATAATAGAATATATAGGCACTTTGCCGAGTTTTATTTGCAGCCTTGCTGCTAGACAAAGACAAATATAACACACAGCCTGTCAACCACTCAAAGGGTGTGCCTACACATGCATTTATGTGCATTAGGTTGTGCTAACATGCAGTAGTGCATTTGCACTTTTCTAATGACTCAATGCGCAGTAGAATCTTACTGAACATTAGCATAATGCTACTTTTATTTTTACGTGCGCTTTAATGTGCAGTCAAATAGATTACTGTGCATTAAAGTGCATGTGTAGATGTGCCTGGAGATCTGAAAAACAGCAGCATTTAGCTGTTTTAGACCTTGCTTTTAACTGCCTTTTTTTGGTCACAGTAGCAGAATTGAAAAAAGATTCAGTTTTGGTTATCTTAGCAAGACTGTTACTAAGTTGAAGACAAAAATAGATGGTGAGAGGGAAGAAAGAAGCAATAAGGTGAGCAACATAACAGATGCAATAGAATGAGAATAACAGCACTAGTGAAAGATATATATGGAATTGTCTCACATTACACTTAGGACATGTTAACTGCACTTAAAATACAAGCATCTGCTTTTTGATGCTTAAAATACTGCTGTGTTCAAGCAGTAAATGTAATTGTATCGTGGCAAAGTTGGGACCTTTTCAGGGAGGAGTACCTCCAGATCATATATTAAGTAATATATGATCACAGTTATTGTCTGGCTGCTTTGCAGAAATAATACCAGCACAGCTCCAGTGCAGCGCCAGAGCTGGGACTGACAATCAGCTCTGGTGTGGGGCTGGGGCTGTGACCAACAATCAGCAGATTGTTCTCCTGGCCCCAGCACCACACCAGTCTTGCTGGGGTCCTGCACCGTGTTGCACTCTACAATTAGGCTAGGAACAGACATTCAAAAAGCCTGAGCCTGAATTGATTCAATCTTTGCAGGTTAGTCTAAACTGGCTAGGCTAAAATAAGTTTGTAACTGTACAGACATCCCAGAAATGCAGGCACATGCCTGCAGTGGGTCAGGCTAGAAGCCAGGGGGTGCTAGAGTAGCCTTCCCTTCCCTTCCAGTGCTGAACTGAGGGGGGAGTGGCCAGGCCCTGGCAGGATGTTCTGATTAGGGAGGGGACCCTCTCCTCCCTCCCACTCAGCCCAGTAGGGAATTGATAACACATTGTTTATCACCTCATTAAGAAAACAACAGAGGGACATTACCAGCTACCTGTCCATTCTGCCTTCCTCCTGTCTGCCACAGCACAAACCATAGCCAGCATGTGGTCTGTTAGCTAATGCTGAGAGGTGTCTGTGTAAGGCAGGGGGTTGGGGAGGTGAGGGGGGCAGCAGAGGGAAGCCAGACAGACACCTGCAATCTCTGCCAAGCTGCAGCCAGGGAGCAGAGGGGAGGGGCCAGCTCTGCTGTGGAGCAGAGAGCCCTGCCCAGCCCAGAGACCATGCTGGGGGAGTCTGGTTTAACTTAAACCAGCAAGGGGTCTGGGACAGACATTGCATAAACTGGCTTGAGCCAAATCAGTTAAGTCTGATACTACATTCAACCAGCTTTATCTCAAACTGGTTTCAGCCATTTTCAAACTGGTTTATGTGCACTGAACATCTGTTCTGTTACAGGTTTAAATGAGTTTTTGACCAGTTAAACCGATTTATGTGTAATGTATGTCCCTAGCCTTAAAGATCAGATTACTGTGCACCTGCACAACACACATACTAGCTTTTAGTACAGCATGATAATGCTTATTATGGTCTAAATAAAACATGCTAAATATCCTGTTTGGCAAGGCCCATATTTTAGGTAGGATTCAAGATTTAACCAAAGCCAATGAAGGGAAGGTGGTGATGTCATTTCTCCCTTTTCCCTGAATGCCTGGTGAGGATATATTGCAGAATCAGGGCAGTGAAGGCCTCTCAGTGTCACATGGATCCCAGAGTCCCAGCAAGCAGTTCATGTGGCTGCGGTGATGCCACATTTTGGACACCAAAAACGGGTGATGAATAAATCCAATATCTCAACTTTATTTTATTCATCTATTAGGCCTAGCTTCTGGTACACCAATTTTGATTCCCATTGGTTACTGGTCCCACACTTCCTTGTTTCCCAGACATGACATCAGCAGTCATTGGATTATAGCCTTTTTACGTGGACTAATAAAGTTTTTTTTTTTTTGTCTTCAACTTTTGTTGGCCTATACAGAGAAGTCAAGTCAGGTTTACAAGTTTCCAGAAGTATAAACCATTCTGTTATCTGATATTATAAATAATTATGTCATTCCCTATAAAAGTTGTGAACTTTGTGTTCTATGACAATGAAAATGAATGTGCTCTCCCCAAAGAAAAAAAAAAGGACGATGCTTCCAAAATTCAGTCTTTTATGAATCTTGATCTGATTCAGTCTGTGTTCATCTCATCACTTTAGCCCCCATCATTCCTGTCCTTAGGATTCCAAAGTGATATATCCTTTTTCTCCATACTTATTCTATCTTCATCCAGACATGCCTTCTCTTCTCTTATTCTTGTTGTGTAGGATATCCTTCTCACTTCAAGGCTGTCTTCAATTCTTTTCTGCTGACTAGAATTCTATATTCTTGTACCTGAGAGTCCAAAGCAAGTTCCAAGTCCCATACAGTCCTTCTGTACCATAGTATTTTTCCTACCAAACAAGGAGAAAATAAAAATGGGGTTGTTTATTTTTAACTTTTTTAAATGGTGAACTTGGTTCAGCATCAAATTATTATTTTTTTATTTACATACACAGAGACCTTGAATAACCAGGTTATCTTCGCTAGTCAAAATGAAGCAGCAGACGGATGCCTGTTACTTTTAGGACGCTTGCAGATTAGCAAGAAAAATATTGCCTTGAAGAGTCAAACAACTCAGGAAAAAATGGCACGTTTATATTTTGGGTGAAAAGAGTGCACATGATTTGCAACAGAAATTTTCTTTCTTTTTAAAACCAAATATTTCAAGATATTTGAAGAGGCAAGATCATCTCTCTGGAGACCTCCTGCACAGGACAGCTTTTCTTGGTCTTCATTATGTAGTGACAACGAAAAAAATAGCACGCTCTTTTGGCTTATTCAGTTTTGCCTTGCTTCACCTATGGTCTTGGATACAGTATAACGAAAATTACTAATTTTCCAAAAATGGAGTCAAGATTTCTGTAAGTGGAACCACTTTTAATTTGGTTCTGCTACAAATCTACCCCAATACTGAAGCAGTACAAATGGCACAGAGATGGATCCCTTCCCAATGGAGATATATGGACCCAATGTTTTTCATAAGCAGTAATACAGTCTAATCACCTGGCAGTGTCCACTAATTTTTGGTTACATATTTATGAGGAGGAATCGGCAGTGCTTTATAGAGAACCAACAGTTTTTCATGTTAATTCCATCACAGATAGGAACGGATCCACCTATTTTACTATTAGTTTTGTTTGGCTTTAAAAAAAAATCTAATGATACTTCTTGTTATCTGAATTTCAGTGGCAAGTAGCATAGATGACAGACTAGAAAGGAACAGGTCACTTGTGCAGAGTTGGTGTTACTCATATTTTGAATTGTGCTGGAAGCACCCAAAGGCCTTCATCAGGATTTGGCTGTCTGTTGCATATGCACAGAATAGTCCCTGTCATGACAAGTTTATAATTTAAAAAAGTAAATAAATATGTGAGGTTATCAAAAAGATGCTAGGTGCATATATGTAAAATGTGCTTTGTTACCATTTAAAATGTGCACAGCTAACATTCACTTGCCAAAAGCCTGGGACTTGAACTGGATGGGTGATGCCAATAAAGAACAAGATGCATTGTTAAATTGTGTAGAGTCTTAGGTATGTTAAATCAAGCGATGGTAAAATACTCATCAATGTGAAATAAAAATTCCAAGCTGAATAAAAATTGATTTTCTATTAAGGATTTATGAAAAAAATAATATAAGTTTCTTGCAGGCTGGACCATTAACCAAAGTGACCATTTGTAAGGACAAAGAAGGAAAACCAAAATCATTTGGATTTGTCTGCTTTAAGCACACAGAATCAGTGCCTTATGCTATAGCTTTGCTGAATGGAATCCGTTTATATGGAAGACCAATTAAAGTACAGTATCGATTCGGTAAGTTTAATAATTTTAGTAATTAACAACTTAGTTGTCCTTTAATGTGACTTTTCTCTGTCTTTATAAAATGACTTTAGTGGCTGTGTAACTTGCCAATATTTACTCCCCTTGTGGGTGTTACAATCTACCATATTTTCTTAGGAAGAAATAGTGTTTCTATATTCAAAGGGTGGAAACAGATATCGCCTTTCGGTCACCATAAAAATTATGGTTACAAAGGCCAAGCAAACAGGCATCCATAGCATTTGTAGCACCATAAATGCCCACAATTTGTGGCCGCAATATAGATGGTACCAATTAGTGCTACTTAATTGAGGCAGATATCTGTTAGGTTTGTGAAGGGAGAGCACAATCAGCTGGAGTTACCCATGTCCATCAACTGCCCCAGAAAGGCACTCCCAGGTCTTTAGGGGATCGATCCTGTGCGCCCCAGGATCAGGCTCAAAAAGCCATGGTGGTGCTTGCATAGGTTCCCATGTTTGGGATTCTCTGAGCATTCAACCACACTCCAGTGCAGTCCCAGGGTTGGGACCACGAATCAGCTAACTGGCAGCCCTATTCCCAGGACTGCACCAGAGTGTCTAGCTCACTCTGGTACAGTCTCAGGACATGTTTCTGTAAGCAGGGAAACCTGGAGTTTCCCCACTTACAGAGACACATCCCAAAGATTCTGTGCGCACATCCCGACACAGCCGATCAGCTTTATTTGGTGATGCCTATCTCTAGCCATATAGTAAAGGAGCAAATATTTGTGTTCTTAGTGAAATAAGGAAGATGGGAGGATTCAGAATGTAACTGATAAAAGATCTTAGAGAATACATTGAGAACAACATAGCAACAAATTCTCATTGCAGCAGTGAACATCTAGGTGTCAACCTGAATTCGGAGAAGTATGAATGAACTCAACTTGACTATGAGTGCATACAGTGGACTATTTTACTAGTTGTTTGTACACCAAGTTTTATATTGAGACATTTTGCACGTTTTTGTACACATTTTATACACATTTTATACTGGGGGGGGAAGTAATGACCATTAGTAAAATAAAAGCAAGCATTCAATCAAGTACATAGTTGGAAGAATATAGTTAAGTTAGACTTATATTTTATTTTGTGGTTTTTAAAAAAATGTTTTATAAAGTTAAACCATCTACAAATGGCATGTTAACAGCACAGTTCTTTAGTATTATAAATAAACTAAACTGAAAGCTGTAATGGACTTGACTGTACGTACATTAAACAAAATATTTATTTACTCCAGAAAGGGCATAAAAAGAGAAAATATATATTTGGCAAATAGATGTCTCTAACTAGCTTTCCCTGTTCTAATGCTCAAGACGTTATGATGGTGTTTACAAACAATGAAGGCAAGAATAATTGGAACCCTAAGTAGAAAGAGAAGGATAATTAAAAGTAGACTGCATGCATATAAATTCTAATAATAGAAAAATGAATGTGGAAGGGATCTTAAAGGTCATCTTCAAACCCATACTGAAAGGTAGGCTCTCCCAAGTCTAAACAATTCCAGACAAATGTTTGACTGAGCTGAACTTAAAAATGACTGCAGTTCCACATCCTTACTAGATATTCTGTTGCAGTGTTTAGCCATTCTCAGAGTCTGAGGGTTATACTATCTGACTGAAATTTCCCTTGCAGTTTAAGCACAGTGTTTCCTGTTCCCTTTGAACACAGAATAATTGGCCAGCATGCTCTTAGTAACAAACCACTATGCAATTACAATCCTAATATATTACTGACATTGATTAGAGTCATTATATCCAATGTATGAGCTACTAAATCTAAACAGTGCATTTGGCATGAGGTGAAATTTTCAAAAGTGATAGTCTGATAGGCCATGAATGAAATTTCATCTTCTCTGGTCCTAAAATCTCTGTTGAAATCAAAAGGAGTTAGACACCTAAGCCCGTGTCCAGACGAGTGTGGCTGTGCAGAATCTGGTGCCACAGACATGTCTGCACATTCAGTTGTTCTCCACAATACAAGAGAGCAGCGTGGATACACAGGGGTAAAAAAAGCAGACCGGAGCACGCAGTGGCAGTGTGCACTGCCTAAAACCAGAGCCTGGCCCGCCAGAGCTGCACTGTACTGCCAGCGCTGCTGCAGCCCCTAGAGGCCTGCAGAATCCCAGGTAAGGCTGCTGGGGCCAGGCCAGTGCTGACCCCAACCTCCCCTACCCCACACCAGGTAACTTGAGGGCATGTGGCACAGGCATTTCCTGGAGATAACTAGTGGCAGCACAAGGTGCACCACCACTACTTGTTCCCAGGGAACCAAACATCCATGCATATCTGGCCACAGCCTAAGTGTCTTTAAAAAATGGGTCCATGAGTGCAGAAGTCTCTTTTGAAAATGGGATGTAAGTTTCAAACTCTCATAAGCACTTTTAAAAATCTTAGCAATGAACAGAGAAAATTCATTTTGTAAGTGTTATAGATTCTGCTTTCAATTACACTTATGCAAATAATGAAACGAAGTTACAAGAGTGTCAGAATTATTTCCATGCAGCAGAACCATACTTTGTAATGTTTATGGTCTGTAAAATACCATTCTATGGCTAATCTTTTAACTGCTTTCATCATCTATGATGGGACTCACAACTGACTGATTTTTAGCTCTTACTTCATGTCATAAGAGGAAACAAAACAAATATTGCATTTTTATTTTCTCTACAGGGAGTTCCTACTCACCAGAGATAAACAGCCCTATCCAAGGCTTTGAGAACTGTGTTGACATACATTCACCAACATATAGGTAACAAAAAAGATCTTTGAAATAGTCATTGCATAATGTTAAAGAAAATGTAATTTAAAACTTAATTGGCATACTAGCTTAAGTCAATCTGTGGGGGAAGAAAGGAGGAATCTGAAATCACTTACTTTTAAAGTACCAAAGATACCTAGAATACTAAGATTTCAGTTTTTGACACAATGTTCATGTGGCATTGGTTTTGAACCCAAGCATATAATTTATTGCTGTAACTAGTTTCAAGATATATGAAACTCTTTCTGCCAGACCTTTACTGTTTCTAGTATATTGTAGATGGGGAATCTGTTGGAGTGAAGCATGTTTGCTTTTAAGAGTTGCAAACAATATTAGAACATGAGATCAGTCTGTAGATGCCTCAAAAGTAAAAATTGTAATGTGTTTGACTCCCTCCTTGCTGACTCATTAGGCCTGGTTCCTATTACTGACTCTTAATATTCTGGTGTTTAAAATGAATATTATGTTGTTCACAAATTGACTGTAGCACAAATTTTATGTATCTCTTTTTCCCGAAGAACTGAGATGTGGCAAAATCTTGAAGTTGTGTTCACATGAGTGACATTTAGAGTGGGAATTTTTAGGAAAAGACTGTCATAAAGGGAATCAGTTTTTAAACTCTCAGTGAGGTGTTAGGGCTTTTTGTGGTTGGTTGGTTGGTGGTTTTTGCTTGTTCATGTACAAATAGAAGTCCTAAATATAAGAACACATAATTCTAAATTACCATAACAGCACTTACCTCTGACAACTCTACCAAAGTCTTCAGTGTTTTTGTTTAAAACTGTGGAAGAAATTTTAGGGAAATAAGACAGTCCCAGGCCTGATCCAAAGGTCTTTAGAATCTGTGAACTTCAATGGGCTTTGGGATCAAGTAGTCTCTAGTCCCCTGGTCTAATTTCTTTCATTGAAACAATAGCTCTTACAACAGAAGTTTGTTCAACTTTTAACATTTTATTCACCCAGTTATAGATTCCTCAAAAATAAGCAGTCTTGGCAGAAGTCACATCTTTATGTTTGTTTTCATAGAAATCAAGAGTCTTATGGCAGTCCCCCATTTCCTGTTACTCCTTTTCCAATGAGCAATAATTTACCTCAGGATTATTCAGTCTTTCAGAAGATGGTAAGTTTGGTTTAAAGGTTACAAATCTGTTCTACTGCCATTCCTTTAATGCAAGAAAAATGACTTACATGTGAAATGAAAGGCAACAATTCAGGTGCTGTCTTTTCTGAATATCCTTTTTTTCTGGTCACTATTAATAGAAAGTTCTTTCACTTTTTCAGCTTATCAGGGAAAATGAAAATCACAGCAGATTACATTAGAAACATGATTTGAATTTCAGTTCCTGGTTTCCAAGCCAGGATTTGAATCATGCTCTAAAACAGCGGTTCCCAATCTGTGATACACGTACCATGTATGTAGACAACGTGTCAGCAGTACGTGGCAGCAGCGGAGAGGGGGGTGCTCAGGGCACTCATGCCTGGCACAGGCACTTGGTGGGGCACAGCTCCAGCCAGCGCTGCACATCGCAGTGAGGAGCACAGCTTCTGCTGGACCATCTGTATCACCAGTGCTCCCCATGTGCATGTGCAGCATGTACATGCTGCACATGCACTTGCATTCACCAGGCATGGGAGGGAAGCCCTGCATGCTAGAGCCAGCTGCTTTCCCTGCCAGGGCTGTGCAGGGTAGGAGGGAAGCCCCAGGAGCCTTCCCTTGCAGGGTGCGGAAAGAAGCTGGCTCCAGTGCGTGGGGCTTCCCTCCCATGCCCAGTGAGAACGGGGTGGACCAGCAGTACAGACTGCCCAGCAGAGGATATGTCTCTTGCTGCAATGTACAGCGCTGGCTGGGCATCCTGAGTCCCCACCCCCACACACCCACACCCTGCCCCCGCAACCTCACACATATACACAACCCCTCAACATACCCTATGCTCCCCCCCTACACAGCCACACCCTACCATACACCCCCCCCCCACACACCCTACCTGGTGGTACTTAAGGTTGTACAGTTTTAAATTGGTGGTATGCAATCTGTCAGAGTTTGGGAACCACTGCTGTAAAGCTGTGTGTCTGACATTGAGGTTGCCCAGTATTTATGAAAAAGCCTGAGCATAGGCTCCGGGGGGGGCGGGGGGGTATGTACCCCCCTGACAGCACTTGTGCCCCTGCTGACAGTGAGTGCTCTGGCTGGTAGGGGGGCACAGAGAGCGCTTGTGCCCTTCCCCCCGCAATTGGCTCACGCAGAAGTGCCATCACTTATGCCGCTGCTGTGCTGCCGGTGCACTTGGCAACCAGCTGCTGGGGGACCACCCCTCTGGTTGTGCCCCACTGGTGCCCCCCCAGACTTGGGAGGCACCAGTCGTCCATGGACCTGAGTATAGATTTTAGGCTGACAACTTTTACCATTTGGGTCAATTTCTATGGCCATTTTATGCTGTCAGTCTGCTACCATAAGAGCAGTGGATCTCCCAAACCAAGGAATATCCTAAATTATACAGGCTTGTCCAGATGAGGTAGAGGAATCATAACCAAGGGAAAGGCATAGCTACATCAGTTTAACTGCCATAACTTTTCTAGATGTACGTTGATGTTACCTTTAGGAAAGCTAGGCTTATACAAGGAACATTTTGTTACTGTAGCTTTTTCAATATAATCAGTTTATATCAGCAAAAGTGTGATTTTGCTAGTGTATCCATGTGTGCAGTAACGGCCTGTGGGTGGCATAATTATGTTGCTCCTGTTCACACATCTGATCAAGATAAATACAGTTGGCAAAACTTTGTAATGTACAGCTGCCTTTAGTTTGGAATCACATTGAATATATCTTGAGGAGCAAAGGTTGCATCATCCAACCTACCTATGTCATATCCTTTCCCTGCTCCCACAAGGTATTAGTGATTATATTATTATATTAGTTACTTATATTGCCGTAGTGTCTCTGAGCCTGTTTTCTTGCTCACCTGGATAGAACCTGATGCTTTGATTGAACTTTCTTGCCTAATTTGATGAAGATATGAAGATACTAAAGGCAGGACTGGATTAACACATAGGCAAAGTAGGCACATGCCTAGGGCTCTGAGCTGCTGGGTCCTTCCCTCTGCGGCGGCAGCGCAAATTGCTCTGTTTGTCCCCCTTCCCTTCCCCTCCCTTCCTTCAGCCTTGCTGCTGCCTTTCTAGCAGTGGCTCCAAGCCCTGCTCCTTACCGGCGGTAGCATCGGGGTAGGGAGAGGGATCTCAACCGGCCCAGGACCCATGAGTTTGTTTGCCTAGGGCCCACTAACGGGTTAATCCAGCCCTGACTGAAGATATTATTAAAATATCCCACCATGGCATAATATTAATATTGTATAGATATTTGAAAATGGGAAAGTACCGCAGATTTTAAAGCTGTAACACAGTAACAATTTAAATAGAGATGCTGTCAAACATACAGCAATTCCTTGTCAGAACTTAGTCTAAAATATTGTATTAATAACTAAGTTTCTGTTTTTCTAGATGAGCCATTTTTTAGCACAACAGTATGCTGCATGCAATCCAATGGGGTATCAACATCCTTACTATCAGATGACACCTCCACCATCCTCAGAGTTGCCCGTTTCACCATATCTGACTCCTGCTGAGGACTTCAAAGCTGGGCAGAGCTCTTTTGAGTGGGTCCCTCCACAATCAAGTGACTGTGAACTGTACCAAGTTAATGAAAGCCCACATAAAAGAAAAAGAGAGCAGCAAACTAGTGATAGTGACAGCAGCACTGAAAATGACAGAAAAAACCTAAGAGAACATGACCAAAAATACAAAAAGTGTAAAGCCAAGAAAAAAAGGCGTTAATATGACGTAACTGGATTCATAATTTTTTATGGCACTTGAGTTTGTTTTTTTATTTAAGAGGGAAAGTCTGTCTCTCTCATCTTTGCACTTTACAAAACACAGATTTACAAAATTCAGAACCTGTTGTTTTCTGGAAGGTATTATTATACATAAGATACCTTACATTGTAGCTAATCATGGCTTATTTGGAGGAATAAATCCTTTAAAAAAGATATAAGACATATTTTAGAAGGTAAGGTTTTCTTAATAAAGGACAACACAGGGTTTGTTTTTTTTCCTGCTATGTTTTCTCTTACCAGTAATGAATATTGTTTCAGTAATATAGGAATCTTTCAGCAACCAGAAGTGCAGCATTTAACTGTATTACTTTTGAATGAAGGTAAGGTCTCAGTCCAGAGGTCTTCAAATGATTGTCAAAACTGGGTAGAATTAAAGATTTGGGATTTCATAACCAGTTTTATTTTGGAATAAAGGATAAACAACAATAAAGAGGAATTTTCAAATGTGAGAGTTTGCCTTGATTTAATTTTCCTATCAAAAGGTATATTTTCAGACAGACTAAGACCTCATATTCTACAGATATTAGTACAGTTGGGCTTACATGATAAACCTGAGTGCAACTCTGAGTACAGTAGTTGCAATTGTAGCTATATGGCTCGAGCCTATATTTACTCACATATGTTCCAAATGATGCCAGTTTGCTACAGATTTATCTGTTAATATTTTCTTTACCTATTTTACTGGGATACATGAATTTGGCTCAAAAATGTCACTGGGTATTCTGATTTGTAACCCAAAAGCAAGACTCGTGTTACTTTCTACAGCAGTTGTATGCTAAGAAGAAAAATAGTTTCCTGCCTAACAGATGAAAAACATCACTGTGTTGGGCTGTGATTAATTGGAATAATGTAGAACGAAAGGAATGGTTTTTTCCCCCCTAATTTTCACTGCCTGGCTTATCGTTTGTAACAAAGTGTAATTCACTACAATCACTACCTTAAATTATAGTACTGTGTGGAAGGATGAGGGAGGCTGTATCTTAGAGGTATCATGCAGAAAGAACTTAAATCCTGGATGTGGAAGCATGGAGACTGGTCTGAGCCCACATTACAAGCCAAAGTGACAATCAGGATGATGGTGTTGCCCTCAGTGATTGAGAATGAAAGCTGAGAGAGAAGAGGAAGGAGAGGAAGAGTGTGGGCAGCATGATTAGTTTGCTAAAGAAGTTGTCCAGTATTAATGCCTAGAGCTGTGGTTCTCAACCCTTTTGGGACTCAAGGCACCCCAGCTCTTAGTTTTCACTCATTTTTGCCTCAGAAAGATAACAAGCAATTCTTCTCTTGCAAAGAACTCCAAAAGCCCACAGTAGGGCAGAAAGTTTTTAACACTTGATTCCTGTTTGAAACCTTCAGGCTTAGTCAATGCCTCATGTTGGCCCACCTGTATTAGTTACCTAGATTGCAGTATGGTTGTCTCTGAGCCCCTTTTCTTGCTTACCTGGATAGAACCTGATGCTTTGACCTAACTTTCCTGCCTAATTTGATGAAGCAATGCTCAACATAACCTTGCTCAGCATCCTTGCCAGGATCTCGAAGCACCCTAGAGCAGTGACTTTGTTGTACCAGGACCCATTTGTAAACATCAATGGCCAGTACTGACCCACTGCCCCTTGTTCTCAGCCCCCCAGTGTATGGAGCAGCAGGGGGTGAGAAGTCTGGGGCATAGGGTGGCCCAAGCAGCCCCTCACAGGCTGGGACTCTGCCAGCCTGCAAGGGAAAAGCCATGTTTTTCTCCTATAAAGGCAAATCCATTTTTAAAGTGTGTTTGCAACCCTTTCATATATTCTTGCCACCCCCTTTTGGGTTGTGACCCATAGGTTGAGAAATGGTGCCCAAGAGTGCCTCACTGGCCTGGAAGGAGAAGAGAAGAAGGCCAAGGACAGAGCCCAGTGGAGCAGGGAGGAGCTGGACCTTCCAGGCTTGCCTTGCTTATTGGGCTAAGCTCAGGCAGAGGGGTAGGGTCGGCTGGCACCTGAGACCCATGGGTTCAGAGTGTCTGACCAAGCAGCCTGCCCCCTGCAAAGTGCAAGGTTAGTCTCCTTTATCCAGTGGGGACATTGGATCTACACCCAAGAGGCAAGGCTGGCTTCTATGCACTACCCACACTCTAGTAATACAGGTAAGCCTCTTTGGGTAGATGTGATATCTTTTCTTAGACCAACTGGCAGAAGAAACACCATGTATCTGGGTCTAAGAAGGCAGTTTTCCTTAAGCCCTCTCTGGGATAACTGTTATTCTGGCATGGTTTAGTACCTGCTGAGGTGTTGGGGCTTAAAGCCCATTTTCTGGAAATGGGAGGCTCCTCCCTAGCTTGCCCCTGTGGCCATATGGCTGAGGGCTGGCGAAACTTTGGGGCAACCGAAGCCTAGGCCTCCAGGCTTGGGCCTGCACATAGGATGCCTGCCAAAAGACGTTGGAAACATCTGAAGCCCCTGGTGGGGGTGGAGGATGCTTGCAGGTTGCAGGGCCACTTATGGTTCTGGACTGAGTCATGGATTTGGACTTGATTTGGCTGATAACACGAAACATTTCTTAAAAAAAAAGAAAAAAAAAAAATCACAAACCTGACTAAACCCAGTTATTGTCCCAGGCAACACCAAAGTGACTGTGAACTGTGCAGGGTGAATGCAAGCCCATGTAAAAGAAGAAGAGAGCAGCAAACTAGTGATAGCAACAGCAGCATTGGACGTGACTGGAAAAAAAACCAAGTGAACATGACCAAAATCTTTTCTTAGACCAACCGAGCAGTCGCAACAAAATCCCTTGCTAGCTTTCGGGCGCAGGCCCCCTTCTTCAGGCGTCCCTGAAGACGTCTGAGATCCCCAAGTCTGAAGTCTGGGATCCCCAAGCCATGCAGGATCGCACAGCTCTCTCAAGCAGGTAGATCCTTAGCTGGTGCAAGTTGCTTTCCAGCTATGGCGGGTCAAAATCCAGCTCTCCGAGGACGAATCCCGCCGCTGCTCGGAGCAGCACAGGAACCCGGCTGATCCCGGTTACTGCCCTGGGCAACACCAAAAGGAGCCATCACCAAGCAAAGGCTCCTTTATCCTTTAAGGAGGCTCCTATATTCTCTTTCTTTTTTTTGGCCTTTATGCACACGGAAAACCCGCTCCTTCTCCTAGCCAGGAGGGCTGGGGGGAAGGTCCTGCCTCCCTGGGCGGGCCGGAGGAGCAGGCTGGGCACCTGGGCGGGCACTGGGGACCCCCTCCCCGCCGCAGCGTGCAGAGCCGGGAGCGGGAGGCGATGCCGCCCGCCCGGGGCCACGAGGTACCGCGGGCGGGGCGGGGGGCGCTGCACGCGTGACGGGGTATGTCGCGATACCCCCCTGTCGCGACACGGCAGGGCTTTGATCGCTCCGGGGGAACCTGGCCCCGAATGGATGAGGGGGGGGGCGGGGGAAGAGGAGCAGCGTCCGTGCTCTTCTGCAAACAGGCGGGATTAGCCTAGTCTCAAAACCTTTAAAAAACCCCAGAGGGTGTGGGATTGCGAGGAGGACAAAATGACTCGAGTCAGGATGCGTCTTAGAAGCCGAGCTCCGGGTGGTGTTGCTAAAGCAGGGTGGCGGCCTCTCCTGTCCTCGAGGAAGAGGCCCTTGTGGCCCTCCGGAAGGCCCTTGGCTTCCACTGCCCCCCTGCCGGCCCTTGCCCTGTGCCAGCTGTCTGCCCTCCAGCTTGTCCCCTTCCCGGGGCTGAGCCGGCCTTTGGAGCTGTTCTTGCTCCGGTGCTCGGCTCGGGAAGAGGCTGGCCCGGGGAGGGACTGATCTCAGAGGCCATCCCGCTCTGCGCCTCTTCTCCCACCTTTGGCCTGTCCCGCCTGTGGGAACAGCAGCCCTGTCAAGGAAGAGGCTTGCTTGCTAGTGGGTTTGCAGGCTGGCACCTAATGGCGCTTGGCACCTGGAGGGCTGCTAACAGAAATACCCTGGGGCAGAGGGTCTCAAACACCTGGGGGGCTGTGCAGGTGGGCCGCAGAACAGTTGCGGAACAATCAAAAGTATCTGTACTTGTAGGTAAGACTACTTCTATTAAAATAGGAGCGGTGTGCTTTGATTTGTACAACAAAAAGTTTAAGTTGTCCACTGAGACCCTCAGCAATTTGCAAGTAGTCCGCGAAAAAAACCCCCAAGAACCACTGCCGTAGGGGTTGGTTTTTTTGCTTTTAGGTCAGAATGATCAAATCTGTGCCTAAGTGGTACGTGCATCTCAGGCGCTGAGAGATGGTAGCAGGGAAGGCGCTTTACCAAAAGAGGAACTGCATTACTTGGACCCGGTTCCCCAGTGAATGTATAGATCGAGCGCTTTCTCAGGGCAGTCTGGTACTCTTATCTAATAGCCAATTCAGTCACTATTGGCTATTAGATAAAAGCACTTTTATCTAATAGTTGATTCAATCAGCTATTAGATAAAAGCCCCCAAAAGCCCCACTGAAGCACACGATCTATATAAAAATTGGGCAAACCGAGTCAAATTAACATAGTACCTCTTCTGGGCACGCACGGCACTTGGTGCAGTGGTGCGCCAAGCTTAAAATAAAGCACTTTTTTGGGTGGGGTTTGTTTTTTTTTTTATATCTGTAAGCAGCCTTCTCATGCCTGCCAGAGCTTGCAGGATAAGGGCCAATGGTTGGGTCAAAGTAAAAAGGATAGTGGGAATTTCCTATATTAGATTTTTTTCTGCAGCTTTTACAAATAGAAACACATTTTAAATTTGTCCCAGGAATACTAATATTTGTGGAGATAAACTGCCTGATGAGACATAATTATGGTTTGGTAGCAAGCCATTCTTTCCAGTGACAACAAGGATGGAGTAGCAGTATGGAGGGGCTGCCATATGAGGGGAGACTTAAAAGGCAAGGCGTATTCAGTTCTAAAAAGAGACAATCGAGGTGGGGCCACAATGAGGATTTACAAAACAATAAATCCCTATTTACTTTCTCTTCGCCTGCTCTCTCTCTTAATACAAGAATTAGGGGTCACAAAATGAAACTAGTAAGTGGTAAGTTTAAACTAGCAAAAGCAAGTTCTTTTGCACTCAGTGGCCATGTCTACACAAGAGGCTGACCGTGCAGTAATGTTGCATGGCACGATGAGCTACTTTGCAGTCAGCATCACCTAAGAGCTGTTTGGCGACACTATTGTGCAGTAACTGCAGTTATTGTGTAGTCATATAGTACTTGTAGATGCAAATACTAAATGATTGCACATAACTAAAACATCCAAGAGGTCACACCCAGTTCACCCTCTCTTTCAGCATGCACTCTCTGTCCCTGTGTAAAACAGGGTGCTGGAAAAGATAGGCCTATGGTCTGATCCAGTAAATGGCAATTCTTATGTTTTTTAAGAATTTGCTTTGCGCAGTCAGTCTTGCAAAAGAGAAAGTTGCAATTATGTACTAAACAAAGTAGAAGAGATTTTGGACCATTACTTGTTGCTACCTCAAAAAATAGTAACTGAAATTAAAAAAATAGAAACATATCAGAATAATGTTAGCACTGTGTACTAATGACCAGTATCACATCATGGAAATGCAATGTACTTCTCAGTGTCCTGTGTCCTTAGTAAAAAGTGCTGTTGCTTCCGAGTCATAAATTCAAATAACTGTAGAATTGTTTTTAACTGAAATGGGATTTTCTTCCCTGGACAGCAGCTTTGGAGACCATTTACCCCTTTAATGGGCCCTGTATATTGTGACTAAAAAGCAAAAAGATTTCTTTAGTAGGTAAAACCAAATAGTTTGCTAACTCCATATAATTATTTGGAGCCACTTCTGTTTCCATTTATCCCTTGTCCTACCTTTCAAAACTTCCCATTCCTTTTCCTGAATGAAAATGTGTCTTATTTGAAAAAAAAATGCTATTTGAATTATTTCCCATTTCCCAAGCCACTGCATGGCATGCTAAAGAGTACCTCTAAGAGACAGGAGAATGAAAACCACTCTGTTTAACATTATGACAATGTTGCATAATACAAAGTAACACCACTGTCACCATCACCATCATAAAAGTGTGTTTCCTTTTAAAAGCAACACCTTGGATAATAACTGAAAAATGAGTGACTTGTTTTGTTTCCAGTCTTTCAAACAGTAAAGCTTAAAAATAGCTACAAAATAGAAAGCCTCTCCCCATCCCCAATTTGGCAGAACAGATGTCATACCTGACAGAACAGAACCAGGAACAGATGTCACACCTGAAGTATTTTTACCTGGGTGTGCTTTCAAGATGATGCCTTTAAATGACTACGTTTCCATTGCCAAAAACATATTAGTAATTTGTATGAGACAGTACTCCAGACTGGCCCTTGACAGTTGTCCTGTGTATTAATGGTTAAGCATGGGTGCACATCACATTAGAGTATTACCTAGTGTATCATTCTCTAAATCTGTCTTCTTATGAAGACAAAAAAATAAGGGCAGAAGAATAGACAGAGCCTTCTGAGATGTATAAGAATTTTGATATTGGTAGAAGAGGGAATATGACTCATGCTCTTAAATAGTCATTATAAAATTATTATCCTCCACAAATAATAGTGAACCATTACAACCTTAACACCTTCTAAAAGATGAATTTCTTCATTTGATAATGAGAAACATAGAACACGATTTTCCATGTTAATAAAGGAAAAAAGTTAATAAAGAAACCCTTACCACCTTTTTTTTTGATTATTTTTGCTTTATGTGGTGTTGCCTGGAGAAATAACCATGATTTTTGTTTGTTTGTTTTTAACAACAGTATGACTTAGTCTTTAAAAACAGTTTTTCAAACCAATTAAGACTTGGAAATGCAATTTGTATTAGAAATTAACCAACTAAGGATCTAAATGTTTGAAGTTGCTTTGGAAACCTGAAGTATAGAGTGTATTACTTAAATGTGTTTAGTGCCTAGAAGCCATCCTAGCCTCTGGGGTGTGGATCCAGATTACAACGTCCCCAAACTGGGTTACAGTTCAAGTTTGTTTTTAGGGATGCAAGGTATAAGAAACTGAAAATGCCAAACAAGCCTCCTCTTCTGCTTATACCTTTTTGAACATTACCTTACCTCTGCTGGTTTTGAGGTATAGAAACAGTTTATTCACCCTCAGGCATGAACAATTGATTTTTCTCCAAGAGTTAGGTTTGTCAAAAAGAAAGCAAGACATTTTTAGTTTTAATGTTGCAAGGCAGGGGGTTTTTATGTTGCTTCTGATTCACTCGTGATGTAGTTATTTGTACCAACGCAAAGTGAGCATAAAATAATGCTGGATAGATGTTAAAAGATGGCATTTCATACCATATTACCTATGCTACCATAGAGGTGTATGATTACAGGAGGTGAGCTGTGTCCGTTAAATCAGAGCTGAAAATCTCTGTTGTTCCATGTTTTGTTTGTAGGTGAGGCACTTCGTGTCAAACAAATTCTAGTTTTAAGGCTTGGAATTTTCTGTCTCCTGTAGATTATATAAATTGTGTCACAGGAATACTGAAGACAAAGAAAAATTACTTTTAGTTACATCTTTTTGTACCTTACATGGTGTTTATTTCACTTTACTGTATGCATTTACCTCTTATTACCATTGATTAGAAGAAAATAGATATCCTAAACATTTAGTCATTAAAGAAAAATGTAAATTACATATCCTTCTTCCTCAGTCTTTAAAGTAACATGTATTTGTTATTGTTGATTTCTTGTTTTTTACAGAAATTTAGTCCTGAAGAAAATGCTTCCTTCTTTAGTAAGGTAACATATTCCTGGTACAGCAGGTAAGAATCTAATTATTTTTTGCTATTTATGCTCTCTTCATTATAGACTATAAGCTTCCCTTTATTTAGTCTGACAAGGTTATTTGTGTAAATGTGATATCTTTTATTATTGTAACTGACTAGTTGGAAAAAATTGTTCTTTGCAAGGTTTTGGGCACAGGCGCCCTTCTTCAGTCTCATACTGTAATAATCCAGAATCTGAGACCATTGTTAGAATAGTCTTTAAAGCCAGAGTTTATATGTGCTAAACTTTAAAAAAATATTTCATAGTATTATTCCTAGAATTCTTTTCCTGTATGTCATATCCTACTGATAATACATTTAATAGATGAAATTTAGTATTTTGTAATCTTAATTTGATCTGAAACTATGCACACAATTCTCTCATTAGAGAATATACTCCTATGTTCTTTAAGGTTATATATGGCAGTAGACTTTCAAAAGTAAATATTTGATTTAAGCCAGGGGTACCTTGCTTGCCATGCTCTGGCATTCATGCCAAGACACTTTGCTTGGCGCTCATGCCTCGGGGAAGAGGTCAGGGCTGCACTTCTACAACAAGGATTGGGCCCCTCGCATCTTCCCTGCCATCTGCTCCTGGCATGCGAACATTTTACAAGTCGAGGTTGCAGGTATTTTTGGCATGCTGCCCAAAAACATTGCCAATCCCTGATTTAAGCTACAAGGATTTAGCTGCATAATACCATTTAAAAAGTAGGCTAATTTTATGTATATTGTTCTTGAATATTTGGTTTTCTCCCTAGTTGCCAATAAGTCTTAGGTTACATTAAGAAGGGATTAAAAAAACAGGCAAAACTTTGCTTAAATATAGTATATCCTCATATGAATTGAAAACTCAGCTATATGAAATTGTGCATTCCACTTTCCTTTAGCATTCAGCAGGGTAATCCATGTAATTCTCATGGTCTGACTCCTGACAATTAGTCATTATTTCCACTTCTCTTTTTATCATGTGATTGTTTCTGAAAGCAGTGGCATATTATTGAATTGTTTAGTTTCAAGAATGAAAATGGTTTAAAGATATGAATTAAAATCAGATTATAAACATTACCTACACTTTGCTTCATTCAGTAGTACTATTGCCAGATTTTTCATAAAGTTGGGGTTTGATTCTTTTTGCATCTGATTCTTCTTGTATCAGACATTCAAAGTTAAGTGTAACAACCCACCTCTGTTAATTAGAGTTTTGGTGTTAACCTCAGTGCAACCAGGGTTTTACCTGTGGTTTTTAATATTGGAACATTTCAAAGGTAACATTGAAGTGTTTGCAAGAGTTGCATAAAATTTAGACTACATCACTTTGGTCAGACATTTGTTATTGATTTCTATGTATTAAGTTTACCCTATGTTCTCTGCCAAAAGGACCAATTTTTATTTAAAGGTTTTTTTATTTTTCTGTCTGTATCTGCAAAAACTTGTAATATTAGGAAACAGATTACCTGTGGCACATGGCCATATTCTCCTTTATGCTTCTTTGGATTTTTGTGAAAAGTCTGCTTCACAACTTTGTACAACCGATATTACAATACTAAAGCCTAAGCATTATTATTCCTAGAAACTTTACTTTAATATGTTACATTATTAAATAGCATAATGGTTATGTTAGATGCAGGTTAATCCTTAGGCTGTTCCAGTCTGAACTAGGGAATTGGAAAATAACAACTACATAATTAATCCATAACATTGCGTTATGTTTCTATGACATGCAGATCTTAATTAAGGTAATCTGGTAAGGTAAGGGGGTTTAGGAAAACCACAACAAAGATCTCCAGTGGACTACTTATGCTTTGGCACATCAACACATTTTAGAATTGAGATAAATGGGGCAGTTTATGTTGCTGGGAGTATGGTTTCAGAAATTCAAGAGGGTAGCAGTCCTCAGACGGCAAATTTTTCAAAAAACGATTTAATGGAAAATTGCAGAATAAGAAATCATCCACAGACTGGATTGTGTTACGTATGGTTTAAAGCAGAGATTTTCCAATTATCTGGATTAATTTTTGTGACTCCTTGTTCCAATGTGTTCACAGCTTGTTTGCTAGCTTCTCCCACCACCATCTCCCTTCCCCCCACCACATCTCTCCCCCTCCTCATCTTTTGTATTCTAATTTCTCTTTCCTTATACTTTGCTTTATGCACATCCTTTCACAGTATCTGATGAAGTGAGCTTCAGCTCATGAAAGCTTGTGCTATGTGCACTTTGGTTACTCTGTAAGGTGCAAATCTACCTTGCTTTCCACTTGACTTCAGACTAACATGGCTAACTATATCTCTCTGTTCAGACACAAAACAGTTACACGTGGGTCACATAGGAAGGGGTTTTTTTCTCCACTTATCTGCAGGCTAGAAACTTTTTAGAATGAGAACTGAGAATCTGATCTTGTAACCAGACACTATGAGCAACGGTTCTAAGCAATAAGCTATTTGTATATCCAGGCATGTTCCTTAATCCAGCCATGATAAGACTGCAGTAGACCTGGAGATCAGGTGGTTGGGTTTTTTTGCGTCTTTGCTTGCTTTAAATTCCCTGACTTTTGGAACTCTCAGCATTGACCAGAGATGTGGGTTTTCTAGAAAATTTTGAATTGAAAAATTTTCCAATGCCCTAAATAGAGCATGATCTCATTTAGCATGTTTATTTGATGTATATTTAGTAAGCAAAACTAAAAAATTACCCCCATGTTAATTTTATATCCTAATAACCACAAGTATTTGAGCTGAAATATTTGATTAGGAAAAAAAATACAGCACGCTTAATGTGGTTTAAATATTATATTCAAACAAATTCAAAGCTTTATGTGGAAAGAAATTATTTTTATTGGAATACTTGTGAAAATGTAAAGGCAATACACAATAGCATGTACTTCCCTTACATTGTCTGTTTAAAATTTAAGAAAAAAACCGAAGGCACTGAAAACTGTTGACACACTAATTTTAGCACACCCAAAGAACTGTGCATGATATGCTGTGGTTGTCCGCTCATCTACTTCAGAGTTTAACTGTTCCACAGGGCATTGTGACACCTCCAGTTTCACTGTCACTATCTGTAGTATCACTTGCACTACTTATTAGTTCCATTTCAGAGTCAGATTGAGGGAAATCTGATTCAGAACTACTTGAAATGCATTCTCTTTCGCTAAAGATTTCACCAATCGTTGGTAAGGTTTACCAGTGAGTCTATGGGCAAGGGCAACTTATCATCACACTGCATATTCTTCACTAATTGTGCTTCTGACTGATTCTCCAGAAGCAAGAGATTTTAAGAAATAGAAGCAAGCTTAGTGGTGTGTTCATTTGGTTTTGATTTGACCTGCACAGCCAATTAGGTGAATTCATAACTTGATTTTTGGTTTGGATTATTATTTACCCTCCTGTTTACAAATCAATAAAACATATATGTACTCTCTCACGTGCTTCATAGGGATAATCACCTGAAAAATGTTAATTACAACTTTGAAACTGTCAAGCTTGCCTACTATTGCATTGGCATCCATTCATTGTTACTAATGAATTTTAGGAAACAATGAATTGTTAGAAATGGAACATTTCCCACAGAAAAATAAAGCACTGGAAAATTTTCTGCCCCGCATCTTTGGCATTGACTCACTTTATTGTCATCTTGCAGACTTTCTGTAATGGACTTACCAGGGGTTAGCACAGCATGGATTTGATCTGTCCATGCTCATGCTCCTCAAAAACGAGTAACTTTTTTTTTTTTTTTTGATATTTTGGACAGTGAATCTATGTTACCAAAGTGACACAAATATATATGGTCATTTTGGTCATCAATAATAACCATATACGGTTATCATTTATGATTCCTGTTTTTTATCTGTGCCTAACAAATGGAAGTAATGGGATAGCCCAACATTTAAGTAAAGATATAATGTAGGGGAATTTCTTCAGTGCTTATACTGAATGTCTCATATTAGGGTGATATACATACCCTGTTTATAATTGTTAACGTAGCTTTTATTTATAAATATCAAAGCATCTATATTAAGTTTTTCAGGATCCCTGTTTGTTTTGCTGCTTTATTTATTTAATATTACACTTGTTATTCTTTTCTTTTAGAGTAATTACTTTAGGGTATAAGAAACCACTGGAGAGAGAAGACCTGTTTGAACTGAATGAAAGTGACTCGCCATACACTGTATGTCCCAATTTTGAAAAGCAGTGGAGGAAGGAAGTCTTAAGAACAACAAAAGGACTGAAGGTAATATGGATGGCAACAAATTGTTATCCTATCCCTAACTGTTATCCTTTTCTCAGCTTCATTGTTGGTATAAAAAAAAATCATTATTAAACTTAGTTGAGTATTTAAAGTCAAAATATCTCCACAACAAACTATAGATTCATAAATTATAAGGCTACTTGATCAAGTTGTGGGCATAGGAATACTTTAGATTAATTCCTTTTTGGACTAGAGATCATTTTGAAAACAAATTCAGTTTTGATTTAAATGGTTCTTTTCAGTGACAGAGAATCCAGCACAAAGTTAGGTAAGTTATTTAAGTGGTTAATTCCCCTCACTTGTGCCCTATATCTGTTCTGAATATCTCTAGCTTTAATTTCCATCTAGTAGATCTTACTATACCTATATATTTATTTCGGCTGGAGTCTGTTATCTACTGTTTATTTTGCAGCCTATTGATTAGTGCACTGTTTAAGAACTGCTGTTTTTTTTGTGCTTGGATTTTTCAAGCATACTTAACTTTTCAGACGAAAACTTTCACAGTTTATTCTGTAGTAAAAGGTAAGGTTTAGAAAGCTAAGTCCACTAAAAATATTCCATTAGAATAGAAATACTTATTTAGTCATAAAGATAGTGGTTGTGACTCCTTCTGTAGAAGAGAAGTACATCACTTCTCATTCTATTTTGAAAGCTTCTTCCATGATGTCACCACACATTTTTGTGGAACACCTCAATCAGTTTAGGAAGATTTATCTCCTATGAATGCCTAGATTATAGTAATATAATATAGTATAATATAATATAATAATTTGTCTTTTTATGAAATTGAAAGGTGACTGGGGTAGTCTAAAATCCCATTCCTCCACTCAGGCTGTATCTATACATGCAATTAATGTGACTGAATAAACTGAGGAGCAATTTGCACTTCAGCAAACTCTGGCTGCAGCTGCTTGGGTGCTTGGTCAGCCTCAGGCTGTCTCGGGGCATGGGGGTCAGCCCTGGGCTCTGGTTGGTGGCAGAAGTGTGGCCTGTGGTCTGGGGCTAGCCTGGGGTGGCAGAGGGCACAGGGGGTCAGACCCGGGCAGTGGGTAGCTGCATTGGACAGCAGAGGAGCTATCTGGGTCATGAAGCTCCTGCAGCTGCTGAGCCATGTGGGTAGGCAGAAGGGAGGAGTGTGGCACCGTGTTGGCTGGGCTGATCAGGAGCAATTTATGCCTGGGTCAGCATCTACACATGTGTTGCTGTGCAGTAAATAGCTCTGCAGTAGGACAGTATTTGTATTACAAGTAATACCCTGCTTCAGAGTTAGTTAGTTTCCTGTGACCTAATAGGGCCGCATGTGTATGTGTAGATGCAAGACGTTCACTGCAGAGCTAATTAGTCTACTCTGCAGTAAATGCATTGTGTAGACATGCCCCCTCAGTTGTTAAAATCGCACAAAAATATTTTTACTGCCCCATTGTAAACTAGAATGCCCTAAGTGTACCTACTGCTTTAGGCTGATTATCTCCTTATTTTATGCTTTTCATTTGTGTGGGAAGCTAAGATTTAATTCTCTGCTTAATATTTTTTTTTTTTTTTTAATTCCATAGGCTCCTTGCAACAAAAAAGTGCCATCTAAAACAAGCTTGCATAAACCATGTTTGCTTTATCCATTATGGCAAACATTTAGATATTTATTAATAAAAGTTGGCCTTCTAAAAGTGGCAGCTGATATTCTAGCATTTGTGAGTCCACAAATAATGAAGTAAGTGCTTTTAAGTATATTTGGTTTTGTGGTCTGCAGAGCAGTAATAATAATGTAAAAGGTTCTTCGGATTCCAAAGTTTTGCTAAGATAGCTTTTCAGTGACTAGGTATTGTAGAGGCTAAGATCTCAGTAGTTTGAAAATACCTGTATGTCATGCATTTTATAATCTTTTTGAGAAATAAAGTAAGATGATTTCAAGGAGCTGAAGTTGCTGACACATTAACGTAGTCTTTGTGACTGATGTGATCAGCAAAAGATACTTCTGTTGTTATAGCTCCATTTAGAGACATGTGATGCTAAGTTATTAAGAAAAGCAAGGCCCTGAAGGGGAGACTTCTGCCCAAACCCTTGTTGGTTAGACTCCTCACATGAAATAACAATAACAGTGCTCATATCTTAACAGTATTAGCCTGAATTTTTAATTGTTCTCATGCTTATTTTCATAAACATTTTTTTTCTAGAATTTAAGTAGCAGTCTAACAGTAACATGGGTTAGGGAGCTCTGCTCTTTCTTGCATACATACAAAATCCTGATAGAGATGATTACAGGACTAAAATTGCGAAATTGTTTATAAGACATCAGTCTTAATGACTGTACGCATGTATTTATCTCCTTACTGTTAGACCGTTACAAATGATTGTATTACAGTGGATGTTGCTGTAGATTTTTCAACACATCAGATGTTTTAATTGCATTAAAGAAACATCATAAAATATTGAAAAGTGTAAATCTGGCTGTATCAGGGAGAGATTATGTATCAGATGTTCAAAAATTCTACTATAAAGTAAGAACATATTATTGAAAAATTTAGACTCCTACCCTACAGGTAGAGAAAAGTTTCTCTTCGTAAACATAAAGACTTAAAATATTTTTACTAAAGTGAAACCATAGATTTGGGGCAAAAAGTGGAAGATTCTAAAAAATAAAATTTGTTTTCTGAATAAGGCATTCAAATGGAAAATACAAAGGATTAGCCTATTATCAAAAAACTGAAACTGTTTTTAAAATAGAGTACATGGGATTATAGAAAAGAAAAATGCTGAAAGACTTTTTAGTTGTCAAGATACATTTTAGAAACAGAGTTCTGTATATTACTGTATATGGTATCTTAGAGCTGTGGTTCCCAAACTCTTGGTTGCAACCCCAAATAGGGTCACAACATCAGTGGATAGGGTCACAATAAATGTGCCCCCTGAGATTTCTGTGCCCACAGAGGAGTGTGGGGCTGCAGCCAGGCCAGACCAGCTCTGGGCAGGACCTGCCTCTGTGGCCCACCAGGTGGGACCCATTGTGGGAGGGAGGGCTGCACCACCATGGATGCCAAGGTGAGGCATGGCAGCTGCAGCAGCATGGAGTTGCACCCATGTTATGGAGCCCCCAGGGGGAGGGCAGAAGCATGGGAAGCCCCAAGCCTGCAGCAGGCAGCCTGCATCCTTCCTCCTTTATGGGGTCTGCTCCGGCAATGCTGCCCACAGAGGAAGGGATGGGCCAGGGGGGAAGCTGGGCTCTGCACTCCACTCTGGCTGTAGCAGCGGCTGCTTTCCGTGGGTGCAGCTGGGGCTCGGGCTCTGCTGGAATGGGGCAGGGGGGCTATGGACTCTGGTCCTGAAGCACCTAGGGGGTGGGGGGTTGTGGGTGGGGAGTGAGGGGCACCAGCAGGGGCAGGGGGCTGCAGGCTGGGAGCAAGGGGCCATGCTGAGGAAATGGTGTCATAAATGGAGTCACACTGAACAAAAGTTTGGGAAGCACTGGATTAGTGTGTCATGTTTCATGAGAAAGATAATCTGATAATTTTCAATCTGAGATAGATTGCTGTTGTATGTTTTTATAAACAGCATGTGTGTGATTTAATCAGAGAAGAAGAAAAACTTGAGAAATTACTTTGAAGAGTACTTTACTTCTTGACATGATTAACTAAATTGCTCCCTAATACATTATTTTTGTCTCATCTAAAGTTCTCTAATTGAGGTATGTACCCAATCTGTGAGACTCACAAAGTAAATGTCAGTTGAAAAATACTTTAAATCAAAATCATACCATAATAGGTATGACAATGTATCGATCTAGGGCTACTGAATTAAATAATTTATTGAACACTTTATATGACCTTGTTAGTGAGGTAAAGTTACTGTTTAACTCAGGTAAGTTAGTAACATTTTTGTAGGACTGTATTGACTGTATTTTGAGTAATGGGAGGCCAAACCTTTTAAAAGTTGTGCCACAGATTAGTCCCATACCCTCCCCACGTGTCACTGTAAACCTTTCCTTTACACAAGCTGCTGCTCTGCTTTCTGCTTGCTGCCCTGTGCTCCCTGTTTGATCTGATGTTTTGCTGTCTGCTCCCTGCCTTATCTGCCACTGTACTTCATGTCCCATCCTCAGTCTGCTACATGCCGTACACAAGTGCTGCCTGTGCCAGTTGTGGCACCCGTGCTACTGGTTGACCATCCCTAATATATATGTTTATTATATGCCTATAATTGTCAGGGTCAATGGGATGAAAATATGCTGGATATACATGGAAGTTGGGGTGAGTTCTAAACCTGAAGGGCCCGGTAACCCTGCTTTCAATAAGCTGAAACCTTATTTTGCTAAATCTAGGGGCATGGAGATCAGGGCACAAAAAGTTAAAAGCCCTTTCAGAAGAAGAGTGTGTTAAGATAGGCAGAGTTATCCAGTACTGCCCATGGGAGAGGCAAGCAGATTGTCTCAACAGGTGAAAGAGTTTTTCTCCAGATCCAGACAATAGTAGGTATTAGAAGATGCCTGTACACGAGACAGTTTACTACATGCTAGACTAATCTAATGGACAATAAAGGGTCCCTGTGTACATATGCACTGGACTTACTGTGCATTGAATTAGTCTTAATACGCTGTTTGCTAGTACCAACACATACAGATACTAGATAAACAGTGCATTAGGTAATGTACCGTAGTGCACGTTTAGATGCTGACCACAGTTTTGCTCCTGGTGAACCCAGGTAGCAGCAGGCCACTGTTGCCTGGCTAATCCCCAATACGGGGGGAGCTGTGCCAGCTGCATGTGGAGCTGTCTCCCAACCCCATGCACATCAGGACCCCAATGTGCATGGGGCTGGGAGACGGCTGCCTCTGTGACTGACACAGCTCTGCCAACCCCATGCAGATCGGGACTAGCCCCTGTGCCCTCTGTTAGCCCTCAGGCTGGCACCCGGGAGAGCCTGGACCTTCCCCTGGCTGCTGCAGTGGGGCAGAGCTGGGCAGGAGCAGCCCTGGACCAGGCAAATCTTCACCCAACAAGGCACATGTGTAGATGTGCTCCTGGCCACAGCTTACTGCTCCTTATTTTACTGCACAGTAACCTTACTGCACATTAATTTCTTGTGTAGATGCACCCAGAGAGAGGTATGTGCATAGTTTAGTATATTGTTTTAAGATATAGCCTTTAAAATACTTTAGTTACAGTAAATAATATTTGGCTACAAGAAGCCTTTTTGTTAACAGGTTACTGGTATCATTGCTCTTGGAAGGAACTTAAGTCAGAGCTGGTGAGAAAAGCAAAAATGATAACACTAACCTGCAAGCCAGGTCTGAGAGTGGAAGAATATCATGTTATAGAATTATTCTGTAAGGTGCTACTTTGCCGTGCCTTCTGCCTGACTTCAGACTAAATGGCTATCTGTCTGTACAATATATGGTTATGTTTTTTAATATTTAGAATCTGAATTAGTCACGAAAAAAACTGGAAAAAAAAACTGAAACAAAGGTTCATTCTCAGACTTGAACTCAAAGGTGCCCATTAAGCACTTACTTTTGTGGTTTATTGCAGTTTTAGTTTTAATTTTTCTTTCTTGTTCAAGTTCTATAGCAGAATGCTTAAATGGAAAATACAGTGGAGTTGTAATAATTACAATTTTGTGTTTAACAGAAGGCTGAAATGACTATGTTGCCACTAGTTGATTGGTATCCTAAGTAAGTTTATAGTGGTTACTAGGAAGGTATTTAATACTTGTTTTACACCTGGCGGATTATCACAGAAGAGTGTTAATGGGCACAAGTGATTAACTTTAACCTTTAGATTTGCTGGAATAATCCTGCTGTAGCAAAATGGTTCAGGAGCCTAGCATGACACTATAAAAACAAACTTTGCTAAGACCTATATCACCACTTTCTGGCAAGGAAATATTAGAAATAAACCATAAACTGTTCTTCATTTTTATTATACTCAGTTGTGAGGAATAATCTCTACTATACTAAAAGTAAAACTTAAAATTTCGGATTTTTCCACCCTTTTCTCTTTAGCAAATACTATATTTATTTTATTCTCTGTGGGTGCATCTACATGAAATGCTACTGTGCACTTGTTACTGTGCATTTATTTAGTACTTGTATTAGCAAATATTAAATAAACATGCAGTAACCTGAGTTTCTGTGCAGTAGTGCTTTTAGTTAACGTTACTGTGCAGTAGCCTAATAATACTGTGCAGCAGAGTATTAGCATCATCTGCGCTGTGGTGCGCTACTGCGCAGTATTTTCTGGCTATTGCACAGTTAGCATCTCTTGTAGATGCCTTGTCTTTAGCAAATAATCCTATACCCTCTGCACTCTGTTACCAGTGAAGTCAGCAGTAGTGTGTATAACTCTGAAGCAGTACATAATAGTAATTGTTACAAGGTCAGCGAAGTAGCACTCAGATGAATGCAGGGTTTTTTTTACTGTTGAATACTTGATTCTACGTTGCCTTACACCATCTATACTTATTGCCACTTTTGGAATATTAATATTACTTAATAATGTAAGTTCAAAACAAGATTTTCTAAGACTTTTTTGCTGTTGCTAACTGAAAGATTTTAAAAAGGTATATCCTTTGATTTCCAGAGAAATGATTAATTTGTACAAAAACCACTCTGATTTACACTGGAATGGATATAGATACGCTCTTGCTCTTCTTCTTGTGGTCATCTTGCAGACTGTCATCCATCAGCTATACCAGCGCTTCAACATGCTTACCTCTGTCAAAATTAAGACTGCAGTTGTTGGCCTGATATACAGAAAGGTAACTGCCTCATTTCCCCACTATCCCACCAAAAAATAAACCTTACCTATATTTTCAAGCTGAAAATGTATCCAAGTGCCACAGAAACCAAAATATTGTAAGCCAGTGAAAATATCAATAGAATACTCTGAATTAAAACTGAAGAACTAACTAGAGCCATAACTAAACTTTTAGTGTTTCCATGCTAGTACTCTAGTCTCACATTTAGATCACTAGACAAGAGTTCAACCACCTGTGCAGAGCCTCATTGAAATTAGCAGGGCTCTATAAGGCTAGGGACAGACATTACACATAAACCGGTTTAACTGATCAGAAACTGGTTTAAACCTGTAACAGAACAGATGTTCAGTGCACAGAAACCAGTTTGAAAATGGCTGAAACTGGTGTGAGATAAACCTGGTTGAATGTAGTATCAAACTTAGCTGATTTGGCTCAAACTGGTTTATGCAATGTCTGTCCTAGACCCCTTGCTGTTTTAAATTAAAGCAGACACCCCCAGCGTTCCGGCATACTCTCTGGGCTGGACGGGGCTCTCTGCTCCACAGCAGGGCTGGTCCCTCCCCTCTGCTTCCTGGCTGGAGCTCGGGCAGAAACTGCAGGCATCTGCCTGGCTTCCCCCTGATCCCCACACCCTGTGCTCCTCACCACTCACTGCTATGCAGGGATTCCACCGTCCACTTTGCTGTACACAGATACCTTTCAGCATTAGCTAGCAGACTACATGAGGGCTATGGTCCATGCTGTGGCAGACAGAACAAAGGCAGAATCAACAGGTAGCCAGTAATGGCCCTCTGTTGTTTTCTTAATGGTGTGATAAACATTGAGTTAGGGGTGATAAACGCTGTGTAATCACTTTGCTGCTGGGCTGGTCAGGGGCAGAGTGGGTGGGGACACCCCTCCCTAATCAGAGCATCCTGTTGGAGCCTGGCCACACCCCCGTCAGCTCAGCACAGTGGAATTGAAGGGAGGGCTACTCTAGCACCCCCGGTCTTCTAGCCTGAGCCACTTCAGGCATGTGCCTGCATTTATTTCAGTCCAGAGAAGATGTCTTTATGGTTACAAACTGATTTAGCCTAGCCAGGTTAGACTAACCTGCAAAAGAGGGCTGCTCCAGCGCTCCCCAGCTTCTAGCCTGGGTCACTGCAGGCATATGCCTGCATTTCTGGGATGTCTGTGAAATTACAAATTGATTCAGCGTACCTGGGTTAGACTAACCTGCAAAGATTGAATCAGTTCAGGTTCAGGCTTTTTGATGCATGTCCCTAACCTAAAGGTATGGGTCAGTCATGAATAGGTTGAAGGATCATGGGCTAATCCAGTCTTTTTTTTAATTGTTTTTTCCTCTCTGGATATTCCTTACTCAATCTGAATAAGGCTTAGGTTTTAGGTCTTTAGGCTGTCTCTCTGCCAAAAAGTACATATATGATTAATTATTTTGTTCACATTTCATAAGAAAAAACAGAGTGGTTCAGTCCTTTTTGAGAATAAAAGTAAGTTTTTCTTTACTTTTCCCATTATAAAGAGTACATGTATGTATCCCTTCTTTGAGTTGTGGTAGCACTGAAGTGGTATGAATAGGAATCTGAAATTTGACCGGAATATCTCCCCTCTAGGGTGGAAAGGTGAGGTCTTCAGTGTTCCAGTGAACATGAAGTTTAATTTGGCAGAGTAGTGTCTGCCTAAAAATAACACTAAACACAACAGTCCAGCTACTATTTTTTAAAAGAACACTTACCCTGACATTTTAGCTGAATCATGCTGGCTGCACTGAAAATGTGTGTATAGCTAATAACAGATTGCCATTAAACAGGAGTTGTCAACTGGGGGTACACCTACCTGTGGGGGTACTTGGAATGGTCCTAGGGGATATGTGTGAGTGGGCAGGGATGGAGCGCTGTCGCCTCCCAGGAATAGGGCTGGGGTTGGGGGAGGGCAGCGGTGCCCCTCTGCAGGGCGGGGAAGCTCGCATATGCAGGCTGCCGCTGCCACACACCAACCCAGTGAGCTTCCCCGCTGTGCCCTGGCCCTGCTCCTGGGAGGCAGCAGCGCTCCATCCCCACCCACCCACCATCCCTATGCTCGGTGTCTGGCCTCCAGGAGTACTTAGACTAAAAAAGGTTGAAAACCCCTGCCATAAAACATAAGGTGGAGCCATTGAGTACAAGAAGATTTAGGGGTTAAAAAAGAAATGCGTAGGAACTTTGCAGTAGAGAAAAGCTTGGCCTGCAAAGTATTACAGTAGCAGCCCTGCTAATATATAGTAAATGAAGCAAAACTGATATCTGTTTACTAGTTTTTCAATTTTGTGTGCAGTGAGTGAGACAGATTATTTACAGGTTGTTGTTTAGTGTAGCATAAGTTTACTGTGTATGCAATAAAGGGTTCAAGGTCTTAATTTATCTACTTTATTTATTCAAAGGACAGCCTCTCTCAAGAGACTGGAAGTGTCCTTGAATATCTTTGTTGATATTTTCTGCTGCCTCCCTGAGAGAGCCTATGGCAGTCTTTCAGCCCTGAAGAAATTCTCCCTTGGCCAGATCTAACTAAGGCTTTTAGTGTTTCTTTACACCACTCTGGTTTCATTACTTAGTACATAAGAGGCAGACTAGACTTTGGAATCTCGTTCACTGAGTGCAATTTTCCTTTGCTGTTACAAGAAAGCCACCCTCCTAAGTTTCCTGTGGATGCTTAATAATAAGTCTGTGTAAAACATGTAAAGCAATACAATAAAAAAATAAAGCACATGTTCAAGATAGATACTACTTTGTGACCTTGACCTTTTGGGACCTTGTTATATTGCTTTCAGGCCTTAACCTTAGCTAACTGTGCTCGGAGAAAATACACAAGTGGTGAAATTGTTAACTTGATGTCCTCAGATGCCCAGCAACTAATGGAAATGGCTGTAAACCTCAACCTTCTCTGGTCAGCACCATTTCAGATCCTGATGGCTATTATCTTTCTCTGGCAAGAACTGGGCCCATCAGTATTAGCAGGTGTTGCAGTGCTTGTTTTGGTTATACCTATAAATGCTTTTGTTGCTGCCAAAGTAAAATGTCTGAAGGTAAGAAACACAAATGCTGGAAAATTTTGAAGTGCTATATTGAGGAGTTAATTTTTAATTATGTTTATAAAATTAATGTATATACTTAATCATGCACAGAAACCCTAATCAAAGGCTGCTTTGGGTGGAGGGGGGTTTAAGAAATACAGTTCCTGTCCATTATTTAGATTAAACTATATTTATAATAAAATGTAAATAGCATTTTTTATCTATATAAGTGTTGGTAGGTCCTGATCCTGCGAACAGAAGTGCGTTCTAGAGAAACAAAACATTGAAGCTTCTATGATCGGACCTCACATTCTTAAACTCTCATTCACACTTCCCTTTGAAGCCAGATTCCAGATTATCCCCACCAACACTCAGAAAAGCCTACAAGGCTCACTATGATCTCTAGCAGATCTAAGGAAGGCCAGGGATGACATCACTGTTGTGCCCCTACAAACATCCTGACACCCCTAAGGTCCCTTCTGGCTCTGCGATACTTCATCTCCATTTAAAATGTAGCCAGGATCAGCATGGGAAAAATAATACATCTCTAAACTGCTTTATCTTCACCAGGAAAGCTCAGGTGGACCAAAGAAGGAGCTGTTTTTATCCTGTACCCTACCTCATCTCTGGTGTCTCTTTGTATAGTACAGCAAAAGACCTGGTAGAGGCCTTTATGAGGTCTAGGCAATATCATCAGTGTGGAAACATAATATTATAGAAGCAGACAATTTGCACTTTCAAATAGTGGTAGTGGGGGAGAGATTCTTAGACAGCTCCTTCAGATCACAGATCTTTTCAGTTATGAACATTTTTACATGTGTTCTGGGACTTGGCACCGGGCGCTTTAAATTAGCGAGCTGTGTTTGTTAGAAGTGCCGGTGCGTCACGTGTATCAACATCCCTACATGTCCCTGCACTGAAAAAAATGGTGGTGGGCTACTTTGAACTAAAGCTCATCGAGCATGTTTTATTTCAAAGCACCCTGCTGTCACTTTTCCAGTGCGGAGATGTGTGGGAACACTGATACACGTGACCCAGAAGGCTGCCAGAGCATGTCAGTTTCCGTTCTCCAGCAGACTCGATTAATTGAGTCTGCTCCCATGCGCCGGATTTCTAGCATGTCAGAGCAGTCTCCACGCACATCTATAGGAGCTCTATGTGAGCAGAGGATGGAGCCTGGTGATCTAGGCCAATTTTGCAACCTAACCATTGTAATATTCTGCCTAGGTATCATTACTGGGAAACAAACAAACAAAATCATAGGGTGCACTGACTAGTATATTTTGAAATTGCCTTCATTGTTTGAATGACATGCAGAAATTAACCACCAGTAGAAAAATCAAAAGGTGTTACCAGTAACAGAAGAATTCCCCGCTCCCTCCCTCCCCCCTCAAAAAAAACCAAACACATTTCAGCTTAACTAGTACTAGCTTGTATCTCACAAATCAGACTGGGTGAAATTCTGTTTGCTTTAGTCAAATGTAATCATTTAATGGAACAACTTGTATATAATAAGTGAACAAGAATATATTCTTTAACTATTTGTAAATTCATCAGACCCAAATAATTGCTATTGTATGCCAAATATACCACGTATGTGACCGTGCTGAAATATTATACTTAAAAAGATTAGATGTTTTTTGTGTCCAACTTTAGATAGTCAAAGTCTGTGTAGATTTAAATTGATACGATTATTCCAGAACACTCTCAGAATTAAAAATCTAATTAAGAAGTTTCTAATTAGAATGCAAGGAATGAACTGGTTTCTGTCATCATCATGCCACAAGAAGAATTTTTAAAATCTCAGGGTTTATTATAGGTAAAGTGGTATTGGAATAGATTTACTAATTCTTTTACCATTTGGTGAATTATGTGACAGCATAAACCACATACCAGACTGAAAAGATAAAGTATGTTTAACAAATTAAATATTATTCAAAAAAGTGATGAAAATGCAGTAGGCAGTACACAAGGTAATTTGATTATTTTATTCTTATTTTAAAAGGTAAACTTTTTTATCTTTTAACCAGAAAAGCCAAATGAAGACTGCAGATCAACGGGTTAAGCTACTAAATGAAATATTACATGGAATAAAGGTAACACAAGAAGCTAATTAGTTCCACTGTACTTTCACTAGTTTGTAACGATGAGACAGTACGTAATTCATAAAACTAGGATCTTGCCACTGACCTTTCAGATGACATCAGAGACAATAAATAGGAGAAATAAGTTATTTTATGTAAAGTGTTCAAAGTTATTTTTTTTAAAGCTATATTAAGGTCAGTTAGAAATATGATTCTGAAATACAGATTAACAGTGACATTTTCTTATTATCTTGCTTTAGTATTTCATTAGAATAGACCGTCTTTAGAAGCTTGCAAATCTCTGTCAAAAGTAAAGTTTCAGTGAAAAAAGGAAACAAGCTTTTCAAATATTTTTTTTTCCTGACCATCACAATTTGTCATTTATACTTCAGATCTGAAATACACCCACATTTCAAGTAATTCATAGTTTATGGTGTATTCCCCTCAAATTTTTTAATTTCTAGATGTAATCAGTATTGCTAATATGGCTTGGGAAATACAAATTCTTAGTGTTAAATTATTATTACACAGAGAGGAAGTTCTGTTAGCGGAGATGTTATTTGGTTGTAAGTAAGAGCAACAATATTTTCAGTACAAACATGTTGTTATAATAGACTGTTATTTATTTGTCAGTAGAAGGCCCAAGGCCTCTCTTCCTTTATTCATCTCATGTACTATTAATAACAATGTCAGGTTACACTGTTACAGAGCATCTTTCCTATGAAAAAACCCTAGAATTCTCCAGACTGTGAATACATGCACTTAATAGAAACTATACATATGAAAAAGGCTGCACATTCAGGCATTCTCCGTGCTGCTACCTTGCAGTGTTGTGGGGGAGGGAAGGTTTGATCCCAGGAGAGCCAAGCGTCAAAAAACCTGTGCAGGAAAAAAGCAGGCAGCACACATGGTGGCAGTGCGCACTGCCCAAAATCAGAGCCTGGCCAGCTGGAGTCACACTCTGGTTGCTGGCCAGACTCCCAGCTGCAGGAGTGCCATGTCTGCAGCTTTTCTGGTCCCCAGGACCTCAAGTAAGGCTGCTGGGGCCAGCACAGTTGCTGGCCCAAGCCTCTCCTACCCCACCCACGGTAACCTGCTGCGCACCAGGGCACATGACATGGGCATTCCCCAAGAACAAGTAGCAGCAGCACAAGGTACAAGGTATGCCGGTTTGTCCCCGGGGAAACAAATGTCCATGCTCATGTGGACACAGCCTCTTTGTTCATGTTATGTATAACAGCAATAGGGTTGTTTAAAGTTGTCAGCCCAAATTTTTTGAGCACACTTTACATGCTGTCCTTAATTAGGTAAGAATTTGATTGATTGCCTAGCTGATGACATTCATTCTTATACCAGGTTCTCCAGGAGAAAGTGAAATATGAGCTTGGACTACCAAACTGATATTTTCTTTATCAGTCAGTGATAGAGGACATTTGCAGAGAAGTCTGATTTTGACACCTGCCTAGATAATTTTTAGCTAACTAAAACACACAGAAAGATAAATGGGGATAAGAGTACCTAGGAATAATAATTATTTTAACAGAAGATGGGCATAGTGAGATGTATAGAGCTAAAGAGCGCTACCACATGCTATTCTGAACAGCAGTAATTTCATTTTGACAGAAGACAGCGTATAGCTGTACCTTATAGACTAACTGAATTTCAGTTTTGAGTTATGTTGAGTCTTAATAGGACAGTATTTCATTTGTAAAACTTTCCACTGGGAAAATGGAAATTGGATTTTACAGTTTTATAATATTAAAACTTCTACAGACAACTAAAAATGAATTTGTTCCAAAAGTTACTATCATTTCTCCCGATTTATTACAAGGTAATTTTCAGTTTGATTTCTGTTTAGATTCTCAAACTTTATGCATGGGAGACATTCTATCAGAAGAAGGTTATGGAAATTCGAGAACATGAAATAGATGTTTTGAAGTCATCTGGATACTTGGCAACTTTCTCTATGCTAACTTTGACATGTATTCCTTTTCTGGTATGTTTCTTGACTATATACATTTGTATAATGTTGATTACTTATATATTCCCTGTCACTGTAGTATCTGAAAGCCTTACAACTGCTGATGAATTTATAATCACAAACCCTCTGTGAGATCATGAAATATAGTAATAAAAATATTTTACAGAGGGGAATTGAGGCATGGAGAAGATGTGGATTATCCAAATTCATACAGCAAGCCAGGAATAAAATCCAGATTTCCTGAGTTTCAGTCAAGTGCCATAATCAGAGGACTCTTATTCTCTCATGCAGAGAATTGCACATTCTTCTTAAAGAAAGTGATTCTTATCTTTATACCAACTAAACGTTTAAGTGACGCTTTCATTTCAGTGATCAATTTTTTAAAATATAAGATTAAAAAATATAAGATTATGGTGTCAGAGTAGAGGTGGTATAGACTCTAATTCTTATGTAAGCACTAGCAGAAGTTAGGGGGAGCAACTGAGACAGCAGTCCCAGGTGCCAGCTTGGTTTGGGGAGGAGAGCAGGGGCAGAAAAATAACACCCTCTCTTGGCCAGCTTTGCTACTACTGCCAGCAGCCAAGAGCCACTGCCACCCCTTGTGCTACCACTGCCCAGGACACCAAACTGTCCTGTTATGCATCTGTCTGTAAGCAGTAATTTGGTTAGTGGGGGAAAAAGATATCTTAAATATATATTGACTATAGATGTACTTGAGATGGACAGAAGATCATCATTTTCATGGGGTGAGGCAGAATGTTTTTTCTGTGTTTCTTTAATACCTTGTGAATCAAATAAAGCTTTTCACTTTATTCACAAAATTTGCTATCTGTTTTGCCAGCTTTCTTGCTTCCTAAATAGCATAGCTAGATTCAGAAGTCAAACAGGTATTTTTCTGTTCCCTCTTATTGATCTATATCAAGGCAGTTGCTATAGCAGAGAAATATAAACACAACTTAAGTCAATACTTTAATTTTTTTTCCTGTGTACCTGTTCCCCTGAGCTAACCCAGTGTGGTGGATGTGCCAGAAGACTGAATTCATGAAGGGAAGCTGGAAATTCAGGAGTTTTATCCCTGATTTGCTACTCATTTGCTGTGGAGCCCTAGGAAAAGAATTTCGCTACTTTGGACACATCCACATGAGCATGGACATTTGGTTCCCTGGGGACAACTAGCAACAGGACACCTTGTGCTGTCACTAGTTGTCCCCAAGTAACGATTGTGCCACATGCCCTCTTGTATGTGACAGGTTACCCTGGGTTGGGTAGGGGAGGCTGCTGGGGCCAGCCCAGTGCTGGCCCCAGCAGCCTCACCTGGGGTCCTGGGGCTCCAGCAACGGCGATCCTGCCACTCAGAGCAGAGTCTGGTCGGCAGCCGAAGTATAGCTCTGGCCAGCCAAGCTCGTTTTGAGCGACACATGCTGCCCCTGCATGCACTGCTCTGCTTTTTTTTTTTTTTAACTTTTTTTTGGGGGGGCAGGGATTCCTAGATCTCCTGGGGTCAGGCCCCCCACCTTCATGCTGCTCCCTTGCAGCATGGAGGAGAACAGCTGAATGTGAAGTATGTGGTTCCACACACATTTTCTTCCCTTAACTCATAGCTGTGGCATGATATATAATCTATACAAGTACTGAATGTTAATAGTTTCGGTGGTGAAACTGTAGCTGCATAATACATTAATATCATTTTAGTAACATGTCATTCCTAGAGAATAAAAGAAAAATTGTATGATTTTGTTACATAAGAAAACTGTTGTAGAAAAGCACTTTCCTATGTGGCCACTGGCCAGTATACCATCCTGCTTTTAAGAAATTTGGAAGAGCCAAACTTTTTTTTTTTTTTAAATGAACAATGCCTCTAAACTATAAGGTTCTGAAAATTAAGAAACTGAAACTGTATGTCATCTAGACAGCTTAAGCAGTGGAATTCTATCAGGAATTCATTTAAACTTTCATTTTGAATCACTTCTTTACATGAGAAATTATGGGTCAGAGCCTCATCTAGTGTAAAACAGCTAACTGAGGACTTAAGTCTATACCTAACCTAATAGGTTTATCCCTGTATGTTGAGAGGGAGGATTGAGGTCCAGATCCTTCCAACCCCTAGTCATGTTAGCCATTTAGATAGGCTATTCAGTATTATACAGTACACCTATATTAAAGAAACCATTTTCAAGATTTCAGTTTAGAAATTGGATGGAGGGGGATGTTAAATAAAAATGAATATGTCCTATTTTTGATAGCCAAAAGCAGAAAAGTACATACCAGTTCTTTTTATCAACTTTAAAAAAAACCTAAGTCTGTAAAATGCACCAATTCTGTACAACACATCTAGGTTAGTTTACATGAAGTGCAGAGCACCCACATAAAATCTGGTGAGATTTAGCTCATTGTGCCGATTCAGGATGGTAAAATAAACTTAATTCTGGAAAATTATCCAAGCATGGGAAAACAATTTCCTAACCAGCAGTAACTTAAACTCCTTCTCTTTTTGAGCTCAGTGATCATGTGTGCTGCTAGTTAAAATGATAGTGCACATGAACTCTGGAAGACAGGCATACAAGGAGTTCTGTGGGTAAGGAAAGTATACAAATCCACATTTACAAAAGGAGAGAATTGGACCTTGACATACTCTGCATGTGAAATTCTGTGGGAGTATTTCTATGCATATATTTAATTAAAGAATGGAATATTTTAATTATATGATACAAGAGCTTATATTTCTTCTACGTACTACAATTGTATTATTTTAATTTGCTGATGATGGCACAGTTCATATGTTAGTTTATATTTAACCTCCATTAATTTCCTGCTTTTATCCTTTGAGAAATTGTTGAAAAGTACAAATGGAAAAACAAAAATCCCTCTATTTTTTTAAAGGTCTCTTTGGCTACATTTGGAATCTATTTTCTCCTGGATGAAGAGAATGTTTTAACTGCAGCTAAAGTTTTCACATCCATCTCTTTGTTCAATATTTTACGGCTGCCACTGTTTGATTTGCCAGCTGTGATCTCTGCTGTAGCCCAGGTAAAAAACAAAATATGTATGGGCGTTGTAAAGGGTAATACGGTGCTCTCTCATTTATCATCATGTGGTTTCATCTACATTTCATGGATGGCTAAGCAGCCCAGTTTTTACAAGTCTTACGTTATTATATTAGTTGGGTGAATAATGGAGGAGTATTTTCATGGCTTTGATGGTGGAACTTCAGGGATAGAAGTTTCCTGATATCTTTTGAAGTATATTAGTATATTATGAGAAATGACTAACAGTTGTCAAAAATACTGTTGCTTTTTCTACACGTGCTTAATCTACTTTTTCCATATATGTTAAAGCATGGGCAAATGCACATTTGGAGTGATTTCTAAAGTGGGTGGAGGGGCTGCTCCCTATCATGCAGCAGCTTTATGTTCTAACAGTTATGCATTCACAAGGTGGAAAGTATACAATTGGAGAAAAACGAATCCAAATTTAACCCTGGATGAAGCAATGCCTGCTTAAAAAACAAACAAAAAAACCCCAAAACCTGTGCATGGCATGCTTCTCTCAATATAATCTAGGTTTTTGAAGTATTGTTTAAGAATCTGAAATAGTATAAATATTCATATTTGTTACAGACAAAAATTTCTCTGGGTCGTTTAGAGGACTTCCTAAATTCTGAAGACCTCGATCCTCAAAATATCGACACAAACTACAGTGCAAGTAAGCTGGCACATATGTTTTTCATTTGCATCTTGTACACTAATTATTCAGAAATAACAACTAGGCAGCTGCCTCTGAGTCATTGTTTCTTTCTCTTCACTGCAACAGATCATGCTGTAGGATTTATTGATGCTTCTTTCCGCTGGGATGAGAACAGCACACAAATTTTAAATAAGTAAGAAAAAAAATCCCTTTAATAAGTACTTTGAACAACATCTGTGTAGGCTTCACATTCTGCTACACTGCATTTCCATAGCATTTGGGTAGATGATGACATATGGTCTGCCTAGTTCAAGGGGCAGAATTTTTTTTTTTGTCTCAGAATGTCCCAAGTAGATGATTGCAACTCCCCAGACCACTGTCTTATGCCTCATGTCACCACTACTCCAGAAAAGGAATTCACTCAGAGTAGCATATGTTTCCTGACATGCAGGTACTACTATATGCCTACATCTGTAAAGAGAATGAGGCTGATATTTAGTTCCCTTGCCCATCATATCCACTTGCAGGAGGGGAGGGTATATGAATTTTACAGAAGCAGTTTCACTTTCTGCATTGCTATTCATGTTATAGGTGGCCACACAAGTACATAGGAATACAAGATATTTCCTATATGCCCTCCTGGAAACATACATGATCTCTTATTGTTTTTAAGTACAGCTTCCTTAATTTAACTTCGCTGGCACTGGGGTCTCCATCTTGGAAACAATTTTTCCTTTTGTCAATATTGCTCAATATTACTGCAAGAACAACAGATTCCCAAGAATTTCTGTTTCCTGAATGGCCGTGTCATAGATTTGTCAGGCCTTGTGTTTGATGCAAATTAAGAAATGCTTAAATTGACAGATGATGCACAAGGACAAAGTTAGTACACAAAGAAATATAACCATGCTGCAGTGTGACCTGGAGAAATTAAGACAGTGGGAGTTTCAGAGAACATGGGCAAATTTGGTATCAATATTGGCACTGCATTAGCAACCAGCTACACTGAGGAACTAGCAATGGTGTATAATACACCATCATAATGAAATGTAGTACAGAAACAAAACAGAAATGAAACAATATATCCAGATACTCATCCCCATCTCATTAAAGTGATCTCATTTCCATCTCATCTTCCTACTACTGCTTTACATTCAACCAAACACTAACTCCTAAATGCATTGCAGAAGGATAATTTCTCTACAAAAAGCTCAATTTTGCATGTCAATTCATTGACAATACAGTAGTCTTTTAATGCAAAAATGCAAGAGATTTTGAAACTGCGTTCTTATAAAAACACTGCTGAGAAAGTTGTTATGCCCATGATTCAGTAATCTAATAGAATTGAATCCTTTTGGAAACAGAGAGCATAAGTTGGATCACTATCTTAATATTGTAAAAGCAGATGTACTAAGTACAATAGATGGGTCAATATGAAGAAGCTGTAAAAATAGATTTTTGTAAAATGTAGAACTTTATTGCAAAAAAATGGCTGAAAGCACATCAAGCATTAGGAAGGTGGGTAATAAGACTGATACTCTACAAGACAGAAATTAGGGGTTGTCCTATTCAAGGTGCTCACAATACATTGTGACCAAATGAAAAATTAAAACTTTTTAAACATGCAAACACATGCAACTATTTTTGCAAAGCCATTATTTCAGGGTTCTGAGGAGTACAGAACCTTTTCGAGTCAGAGAGGCCCAAACAGAAATGTTTGTTTCCTCAGTCACTGTAAGGGGTAGATTAAGTATTTTGTCCTTCAGAGCATCTGCTACAGGGGGATACTACTCTGTAAACAGTACAGTGTTGACAGAGGGAATGAATGGTGTCTATCTGTCTAAAAATTTCTAGTCTGAATGTGAGGATCCCAGAAGGTGCTTTAGTTGCTGTTGTTGGACAAGTTGGATCTGGAAAATCATCTTTCCTTTCAGCTATTCTGGGAGAAATGGAGAAACTGGAAGGAACAGTCCAAAGAAGGGTAAAGTCACTTTAAAAAAAAAATCACTATAGTTATACTATTTATATAGGGTTGCTTCAGAGAATAAACTATTTTTATTCATAAAAAAATACATTGGCAGTTAAATATTTTTGAGACAGCCAACATAGTCTTCTGAGAAAACTGGGATAAAATTCAGATTGCTTGTTGTTGGATGATGTGTAGCTTCTTACACTAAAAGGTAATATGATACAGCTCCTTTTTATTTAAGTGAGTAATTATTCACTGTAAAAATCCCTTATGGATTTAGGTCATGTATCCTGCCTAAGGATTTAAACATGGCTGATTTGGAACAGTGATAAAATTGTGACCCATATGTAGGAGTGACTGTTTTTTGCACATGGCCACAGTGGATTATTCTTAGGGAAGGAAAAGAATCATGGTGCTGATACATGTTACAACTTGCAATTCTATGAAATGTTAGACAGTATTAAAGTTAGAACATGCTGTGAGCAGTTGCACAGTAAAAAGTTAATGCCATCTCTAATGTGCAAAGCTCTGATTTGCTGCTAGAGGTCTGGTGAGCAGGGATGTGGCTAGGAGCTGCCAAGTCTGCCCAATGGCTGCTCAGCTCTAAGGCTCTGTAGTGGCTCCCTGTTCACCAACCCTCCCCCACAGCTCCCTGGCAGCCCCCACTTACCTGGCACCTCCCCTATCCTCCTTGCCCCCCTCTCCCCCCATCTCCCCATTTACCCATGGCTGTCCCTGCTCTGTCTGTTTGGGGCAGTAGAGTTCTGGATAATGGATCTAAGTCATCTACCTTGTTGGAGGAGGGTGGGGGAAGAACTGCATCCTGGGATACCAGACCTCAGATTGTATTCACCCCATGTAGCAGACTGACTACTGCAACACAAGCTGCTTAACACCAGCTGGGGATGATCTTCTCTTGAAGAGGCATAACTTTGAGATTTAGAGGGCACTTAGCTCATCTTTTCCTATCTTAGTGCATGGACACCCCTGTCATAAGAGCATTTAACATCTAACAACACCCTTTTAAAAAGGAGGGAAACAGTGTAGGTTTGGGAAAGGGAGCTAAACAAAAACTACTGCTCAGGTGTTAGTATCAGCTTATAGGGTGGCAGATGATGTTGCAAGAATTCTATTAGTTCCTAGTAAAATTAGTAGATTCCTAGATTAATGCCCCAAGGGACTATAGGTACTCCTCACTTAACGTTGTCCTGGTTAATGTTGTTTTGTTATTACATCACTGATCTAGTAGAGAACAAACTCGTTTAAAGTCATGCAACGTTGTTTGGCCACCGCCTGCTAGTGAGTAACTACCATGACGTAACTGGATTCGCTTAACATCGTTTTGCTTAAAGTTGCATTTTTCGAGAACGCAACTATGACATTAAGCAAGAAGTGGCTGTATTGTAATCATTTAGTCAGGTGTAGTTCTAATTGTCAATTGGTGTTTTCATCCAGTTAGCTCAATAACAATACGTGAAAGCCCAAAATAATTAGCCACAATAGCATCTGGAAAGAAGCACTACACTCTGTTATTACAGCTTGAGCAACCTATTAAAATAAGTTTTACATTAAAAAATGCAAACTAAATCTGATCGTGGTTTGAGAGTGAGATTGTCATATCCAAAACACGGTTCCAGTTTTTGGTATCTTTGTGTCCTGAAGCAGATCTTAGGACTGAAAAAGTTGCCTTGTGTCACACTGGGCACGTCTATGTGTGCCTCTATGGCACTGCTGTTACTGTGCTGTTATTTAGTATTTCCTTTTGGAAGTACTAAATGATGGTGCAGTAACAGCCTGTACTGTCATGCCAGCAGCGCACGGTTATTTTTAGCCACTATGTTGCTGTAGTAATGCACTATAGCAAGGGAGTGTGTTGCTACAGTGATGCAGCTGCAGCATCATAGTTTGTGCCCACCAACACTGTGTCACTGTAGCGTGTTGCTACAGTGACAGCATCTTGTGTAGACGTGTCCACTGATAACCATCATGCTGAAACATTCTGTGTCCCGATCCAGCAGTGCATCCACCTTAGTATTGTATTGCATGCATGAACGAACATTCTCTGCTTAAAGGCAGCACCCCTCAGTGATACTACTCAAAAATAGGTTTTATAAGTCAATCCAGGTAGAGGTAACATAATTGGGGCATACCAATTAGTGTGTAGGTGTCTTCTAAAAATTAATCTTTTAGGCAGTCTGGTCTGTAATAACTGACTTCTTAGAAAGATAACACAATTTGATAAAGCTGATATTTTGGAACCGTTACTTTGAGGTAATGTTGGAACAACAGATGTCTTTAAAATTCGTCCTTCCCCTTGAAGCCATGTTCAAGTGAGAGCATATTTATTTTTCTTCTCTTTCTCTTTTTTAGGGCTCCGTGGCCTATGTTTCCCAACAAGCTTGGATTCAGAATTCTATTTTACAGGAAAATATTCTCTTTGGCTCAGGTCTAAACAAGCCATATTATGAGAGGGTTTTGGAAGCCTGTGCTTTACTACCAGATTTGGAGCAATTACCAAATGGAGATCAAACAGAGATTGGAGAAAGGGTGAGAGAACTTGAGTCATCATAGATCACTCAGCTGAGCTAATTCACACATGCTTCCAAATGTTTTTAATCTGCTAATTAATGTGTAACATGAAAAATGCTGGAAAGTATAACTAATCACTGCTTCATCCAATAGTCCTGGCCTAGCTCCTCAAAAGAATTTAGGTAATTAACTCCATATTTAGTCATTAAGATTTTTTTTATGAGGTAGTTGCCAGAATATTTTTGAGGATCTGTTGATACTTTTCTATAGAAGAGTTTTGAGTCAATTGGATTGCCCTTCAGATATTCTTTCTACTCTAGGCCTATACAATACTAGCTGTTCATCCATTTGAGAATGGGCTTTTCCAAAGTACCATCATTGGCCTAACTAATTACTCTCACTGAAATGAGGAGGAGCAGGGACAAGCAAATGGTGATGCTTTTGAAAATCCTGTCCTATAGGATAAGATAGGATTTTGGCATTTTCATAGATTCATAGACACTAGGGCTGGAAGGGACCTCGGAAAATCATTGAGTCCAGCCCCCTGCCCCAGGGGCAGGAAGTCAGCAGGGATCATAGGATCCCAGCAAGATAAAACATCCAAATGTCTCTGGAAGGGGTTGAGAGTAGGTGCTTGAACCATCTCCGGCAGTAGTCTATACTAAACCTTGGGGGCTCAGACAGTAAAGAAGTTCTTCCTTATGTCCAGCATGACATGGTCCTGAAGGAGTTCGTGACTGTTTGACCTTGTCATCCCTTGGGACACTCTGGTGAACAGACGTTCCCCCAGACCCTGGTGGTCACCCCTGATAAACTTATAGGCGGCCACCAGATCACCCCTGAGCCTGAGCTTTTCCAGGCTAAAGAGTCCCATGGCTCTCAGCGTCTCATCATAAGGTCTGTTTTCCTGACCTTTGATCATGCGCGTGACTTTCCTCTGCGCTCTCTCAAGCTTCTCCATATTCTTTTTGAATTGTGGAGCCCAAAACAGGACGCAGTACTCCAGCTGCGGCCTCACCAAGGCCAAGTACAACGGGAGAATGACGTCCTGGGATTTGCTTGAGAAGCATCTATGGATGCAAGCCAGTGTTTTGCTCACTTTACTAGCTGCAGCATCACATTGAAGGCTCACATTCATCTTGTGGTCAATCATGACCAAGTTCCTTTCGTCCATAGCGCTAGCCAGCATAGCATTGCTGAGCCTATAGGGATGCTGCAGGTTTTTCCTCCCAAGGTGGAGAACCTTGTATTTTTCAGTGTTAAACACCATTAGGTTCTCGTCTGCCCATTTCCTGAACCTGTCAAGGTTTGCCTGGATCACCCTCCTGTCCTCAGGTGTGGATGCTTTACCCCAGAGTTTGGTGTTGTCAAACTTGGCCGGTCTGCTTCTGACACCAATGTCTACATCATTAAGGAAGATGTTAAATAGTATAGGCCCTAGGACAGAGCCTTGAGGGACCCCAATGGAACAGCGCACCACGACGATTGACTTCCGTCAACCACCACGCCCTGGGTTCTACCGTGGAGCCAATTCCCCAGCCAGCGGATCATGGTGAAGCCAAGGCCAGTTAGTCAATTTTGCTAAGAAGTGATCATGGGATACCAGATCGAAGGCCTTTTTAAAAAAGTCAAGATATATGACATCAATCTCTTCTCCCTTGTCCAGGTGATAGGTCACCTGGTCGTTAAGGGAAATAAGATTGGTCAAGCAAGACCTAGCTGCAACAAACCCGTGCTGGCTATCCCTCAGGATGTTACCATCAGCCAGTTCGTTAAGAATGGCTTCTTTGATAATCTTTTCCAAGACATTCCCCAGGATAGAGGTCAGGCTGATGGGCCTGTAGTTTGCCGGATCCACTTTCCTCCCTTTCTAGAAAATAGGCACCACATTGGCCTTCTTCCAATCTTTGGGCACTTCACCAGAGTGCCAGGAGTTCTCAAAGATCTGTGCCAGAGGCTGGGCTATGATGCTAGCCAGCTTCTTGAATACCCTTGAGTATAAACAGTCAGGGCCATCTGACTTGAAGGTATCCAGTCTCTCAAGGTATTCCTTCACGAGGTCAGCATTGACAAGGGGTAAGGGATCTCCCTTGCCCGGGCCTCCCTGCCCCATAATGGGCAGGGGCATCCCATAGGACTGGTGAAAAACCAATGCAAAGGACCGATTTATCAAGTTGGCTTTTTCCTGGGTGTCAGTTGTCATTTGTCCCATCTGGTTTAGCAGGGGTCCAATGTTGCCCTTGCTTTTCCTCCAGCTCCCCACATATCTAAAGAAGGACTTCTTATTGTCCTTGATACTTGTAGCTAATTGGAGTCGCAGCCTTGGCTTTCCTGGTTCGCTCCCTGCAGGTCCAGACCAGTGCAGAGTATTCCTCCTTGGAGGTGGATCCAGTCCTCCATCCTTTGTAGGTCTTTCTTTTTAGACACAGGAGGTCCACTAGTTCCCTGGAGAGCCAAGCCAAGGGGGCTGCTGTGCCCTTTTGCTGCCTTTCCTTCGAGACGGGCTAGACTTTGCTTGTACATCCAGGATTGCTCCCTTGAGGAGCAACCACTCATCCTGAACTCCCCTCCCCTTTGGGTTGTGGCCCTTTAGGGCCTCACTGACAAGCCTCCTTAGCCTTGTAGCAGTCAGCTTTCCTGAAGTCGAGGACTTCTGTATTGCTGACCGACTTGCCAACTTTACAGCGAACGATGAAGGTGATCAGCTTGTGGTCACTGTCACCCAGCTTCCCTTCAATCATTAGGTCACTGATTAAGTCGTCCCCCATTGCCAGTACCAGGTCGAGCAGCATTTACCTCTCGTCGGCCCGTAGACTTCTTGCGTCAGATAGAGCTCATCCATGCACGAGAGAAAGCTTTGCAACCTCTCAGATTTGGCTGAGCACTCTTCCCACGAGATGTCTGGGTAGTTGAAGTCTCCCATGACAACCATGCACTGGGAGCGTGCGGCCTCAGCCAATTCCCTGATGAACTCCTGGTCGAGCTCTTGATCCTAGGCAGGGGGTCTGTAGTAGACTTGCACCATTGTGTCCCTTGTGCCATGTTCCCCATGGATTTTAACCCAGAGGGTCTCCAGTTGTCCACCCTGGGCGCCAATGTTGGCTTGCAGGGACGCATAGCTTTCCTTGACCCCCGCTACTTTTGTCCACTCGGTCTCTCCTGTACAGGGTATAGCCGTCTATATTTGTGGCGCAGTCATGGGTGGAGTCCCACCATGTCTCCGTTATCCCTATGACATTGTAATTATTTGTGTTTAGGAGCTGGTGTTAAGCTTGTATCCATATCAAGGTTTATCTTTAAAAAACAAAAATTTTAATAATTAAAAGATGAAGCCAGATGTCACTGTTCCAGCAGTCTTTTCGTGCTAATTATTTTGGCCACTCTGATAAGGAGAAGTCTGAAATTTTATGAGAGGGACCCATTTTCAAATTGGAATAATGATGAATGGTAATACTAAAACTTTAGTACTTATGCAATTTAAAATACCAACAAAAGAAAACTTTCAGGTAACACTTAGCTTTTACATATCATATTGCATAGAAAATGCTGATCTATCCCAGAGCAGGAACCAGACGCTTATAAACAGTAGAACTAATGTTTCTGTTTTCGTTACAGTGGTTAACAAGGGCATTTCAGTGTATTAGACAAAAACTGTTCATGTGTGTTTATACTCCAGCTGGCTAATGATGACAGGCTAAAATTGCTTTTTCTCCCAACTCTCACTATTCTGGTTTTGATTTGTTGTAAGACAGGCAAGGAAATATGGTTCCAGAGACTCTACCTGTGTCTGTGTATTTAAATATAGCAATTACCATATTTTGCCTGTAAGATATGACAAAAGAATGTTTTTCTGTTACTAGGGCTTCAAGACTGGTATGCGTTCTTAGTCTGAAGACTTTACTTATAGCTAAAATACTTGAAGCTACTGCAGTACTAGTATCAAACCAGGGAGTTTCCTTTATCCAGAATGTTGAGACTTACAAGGCAAAATTGAAACTCTCAACTTTACCCTTTTTCCCAGTTTATGCACAGAGATGCAGATTGCAAACTACTCTTCCTGCTCTTTCAAAGGCTAATTGTTTTCCCATTATTTATATATATGAAATACAGAATTAATTCATATTTTTCCATGCCTGCTTATAGCACTTAGAGATCTTACATGGAAGATACTGGGGGGATCAGAGAGGAAAATCATAATCATAGGCTCTTACAAATAAAGTGAGGCAGGCAGACATAAGGAACCATCTGTAAATGGATTTATAGCCAATTATAAAGAAATATACCTGGTTTGTAGTTAAGCTATGTCCCTACAGTAATGCTCTGCTGTTCACTTACAACAGCAGTTTTAACCTGTAAAAAAACATTTTTAAACAGTCTTCATAACCTTCAAGTAAAATGAGAAAAAAAGTAAATCATATATAAGTACAGAAAAGCCTCCAATTACATTAAAGATGTTCTATATGTATTAGGAAAAGATACAGATCATCTCCTCTTGAGACTATTGATATGATCTGTTTTCACTTTATTGATATAATGTAACAGACATTAGTTAGACATACAGGTTTGCAGTGATAGTAAATCAGGTTCATAGCTCCAAGGGTGAGTGTCTACTTTATGGAATTTCCAATGATTATATTACAATAGTCATATTTAGGAATGGAGTAATGGCTGAAGAAGTTTTTAAAAAAACAAAACACAAAAAACCCAAAGCTGTGTCAAATTTGATCTACTGATGTATTTTCTCTTCTTAGGGAGTTAACATAAGTGGCGGGCAGAAGCAAAGGGTGAGTCTGGCTAGAGCTGTTTATAGCAACGCGGACATATATCTTCTGGATGACCCATTGTCAGCTGTAGATGTACATGTTGGAAAGCATCTTTTTGAAAAGGTTATTGGGCCCTCAGGGCTCTTAAAAAACAAGGTAAACAAAGCAGACTTTTTTCCAATATTGGTGACACTTCATATAAAGTTAACAGCAGACTGAGAAGCTTCAGTCACGTCTATGTAGATGGCAGAGATTTAGGAATGCCAGTCATTCACCATTTCAGTTGTATTTAGGAGAGCTGCAGCATCCAAGTTTCCCCTAAAGCAGAGATTTCAAAGTTTTGTACTTCATTGAGACATGAGCCCTTTCCTATTCTAGAAGTATCAGATATAATGTGATAATCAGTCTGAAGGACCTTGTGGACAAAGCAGCATTTCATAATTACTTAGTGTTTATTGTAATTAATTGTACTGTATTTACTCACATACCATACTCACCTTTCCCCAAAAATTAGCCTTCCAAAATTGAGGTGTGTGTTTAAGTGAGGAAACTGATGTCCACACCATAATGGAAGCATTGGGATGCTAGAATGGCTGTATACTTACCCATGGCTGTATGCAGGAGAAGCTGTACAACTGCACGTTTAACCCTGTCACACTTGCTGTCAAATTGATGCTGCCCATTTGGCAGTGGCTCTGACAAGGTTAAATTTCTAGTTGTACGGCTGCAGCAAAAAGATGAGCGATGCTGATGATAGCACTCTGCCTCTCCAGCATTCAGCAACGGCAGGTAAGATTCTGGAAAAGGCCTTTTTTTTTTCTTCTTTATTTGGCCTTCCAATGGTACGTGTCTTATTTCGGGGAGGCAGGGGGAAGGTGGTATGCAAGAAAAATACAGTAATAATAGTTTCTTCAGCCTGCCTGCTTTAGAGGCCATGAGAAGGAAATTCTTAGGCACTTCTTTATGCAATCCTCATAGTAACAACTATACTGTTGCTACATACTATGGTTTCATATGGCAAAAATTAAACTGTTCTGTGTTTCAGACTTGTATTTTAGTGACACACAGCTTGGCATCCCTGCCTCAGACAGATCTTATAATAGTAATGGAAGCTGGAAGGATAGCGGATATGGGAAATTACCAAGAGCTGCTTTCAAAAAGAGCCAATTTTGCTGAACTACTACAAGTCTTCAGCACAGAAAGCAAAAATGAAGAAACACTACCTATAAAAAGTGACTGTATGTAGTATCTTTGCATATATCATGTTTTTTAAAGATATAACATTCCACATGAGTTGCTAAAATGTTATTTCCCACTGTAACAGGGGATCATCTCCAGGGTTGGCCATGAAGCCCCTGGAGGCTGAGCAAATTCCTTACACCCTGTCCTCGGGGCTTTCCACCCTTCTTTTACCCACCACACCGTGATGTAAATGGTTATTAAAGCATGGGGGGCTGCCCTGATCTTACACTAATGTAAGGACCCCAGGCATGTTAGGGGTCCATGCCTTAAAGGCTAATTGCATGGCTCCAAT